AACGTTCGGAACGGACAGGCACCCTAAGAAGAAGAATATGTTAGGTGCCTACATTTACACCAAAAACAAGATTTTAATACTACTTGTGCATAGTGTCCAGAAACTCTCTAGCCTAGTCTGGTTAAAAAAAAAGTGGAACAATTTTTCTTAGATTCCTGAAGCTTTTAAGACATAGATGGGGTTACTAGATGACAAATAAATAAAAAAGTACTCGTATTTTTACCTCGCGTTTTTTTTTAACAATAATTTATGGTCACAATTTGATTTTTTGTCTACAACTTTTCCTTTATATTTTACATAAACTCTATTAATATCATTTTTTATATCAAAAATATCTTTATTTTCCCGTTTTTTAAATTAAAATTGATCGGTACTCACCGGAGGGACCGCAGACGTTCGGATACAATTAGCGTCTCTTAGCAAAGACAATGACGTCGACTTTGCTAAGTATCAAGACAATTACTCTACACTAGGTACCTGACTGTACCATGCCAATGATCTTAGTTGTCGAGGCATTAAATCAATAATAATAAAAAAATTAAAATTAATCAATAATTTACGGAAATATTTGCAAAAAAGCAGTTTTTTGCACTAATTTATAAATTTTATTAATTTTTTATTAACAAAATAAAATGTAATTAATACATTTGAACATCGAGGAATTACCGTCTTTTATAGTGTATTTTTATGTATGAGAGAAATAAAACAATAAATTATGTATGCAAATCCCTAAACTGTTGATACGGGTGACTCAATGAAAAACAGATATTTGTCAACAAGTTTACAGAAGTATATAGGAAAACAATTTTAAATTGAGTATGACCACCAGGTATAAAGGTTGTAGCAGAATAGAATACAATAGTTGTGAGGGTTACTAATCCCTAAATAAGGTTGCCAGTGTCGGAGTGATGGAGGTTAACAGGTACTAATGAATTTGCAAGAAATGTAAGATGTTTATTTTATTGGTTTTATATAACCAATAAAAGTTTAATAAGTACCTACCTATTTGTAAAATAAAGTTTAATTCTTTAGATAAAATAAAACGTTTTATTTTATCTGAAATGAGTGCATTCCACGAAGTAAGGGTTTCAACAATCAAACATTTAATTCTTTAATTCCAGGAATCTACGACAGTAATTGACTAGATAATTACCTTCTAAACTTATTCCACAGAAAATGTGATAGTGGGTTTTTCCATTTTGTAGGAAGGTCCAAGTGGCGTATTCAAAATTTTTAACAGTTCACTAAAAGTAGGTACTTCAGTTGCAAGGTGCAGTTTATTGTGTATACTAGTGTTATGGAAAATTTGGAAGTGCCGTGTAAACGCCGAAAAATTGGTCCTTTAACAGTTAATGAAAAAACATTAATATTTAATTGTTTTAAATCATTTACAGACAAACGTTTATGTGAAAGTGTTGATAAGACCGTTGAGTTAGTTAGCAGTACACTTGGTGTTGGGAAATCTACGATTTACAGAGTTATTAAAGAAGAGAAATGTGGTAGTTTTCAAATGCCACGTAATGCTCCAGGGAAACCAAAATTTCAAATAGAATATCATTTTAAAGAAGGACTTCGACGGAAAGTGCATGAATTCTTCTTTAGACAAGAATTTCCAACATTGGATAAAGTTCTTGTCTCAGTTCGAGATGATAAGGATTACCCAGAAATGAGTCGAAGTACGTTATGGAAACTTTTAAAAGAAATAGGCTTCCGCTGGAAAAAGAATCCCAGAAAGTCTATTTTATTAGAAAGAAGCGATATTGTCATATGAAGAAGACATTTTCTAAGAACCATAAAGGGAATGAGAAACCAAAAAAGAAAAATATTTTATCTTGATGAAACATGGATCAACGAGGGTCATACACCAAATAAATTTTGGCAGGATGAAACTGTTACATGTTACAACCCTGTTTAATGTCGACAAGTCAGTTCTAATATAGAAACTGTTACATGTTACAACCCTTTTTAATGTAGGCCAGTCAGTTCTAATATAGTGTGTGATAAAAGAGGTCTCTTTTGTTTACATACACATAACACTTTATAACACTGAAATAATTCATTTATTTTTTAGAATTATTCAAAGTAATTTTTCAATTAATCTTGAGCACGCCCATGGAGTGGTCGGAGATACCAGTTAAAATTATGCTAATTACTCTCTCCTTCATAAAAATAAACTATAAATTGGTGCAAAATTTCCTCCGATTCGTCAAATAGTTTAAAAATTATTTAATTTATTGATCCTTGAGGCTAAATATTTAAACTATTGAACTTGCTCTATTTATGATGCATATTGCGATTTCATCGAAATTATTTACAAAATAAACGTTTGAAAAAGGGGTATGTTTATTACTTATAAACAATTGTAATAACTTCTACATATATATAGTAGAATAATGTTTTTCAAGCTACAGACTTGTACGTACGGCCATTGGATAGCTGGTAAAAAAACTGACATTAAAAAAACTTCTATTATCAATAGGAACGAATTTAGGAGCTATTTTGACAAAATTTTGGAGCGTGACATCTGCTACTCATCCCGCCTTTTTTGCACATACTAGGATATATTTTCTATTATATAGATGACCTTTCTCCTATTCTCATGAATACATATAAAATGTAGGGACACGAGGACAGTATACACTGTGATCTTTGTAGATATTTACTACATATACCTATACACATATATAAACATATAGATCATCAAAGTAATAAATAATTATAATTAATACAAGGAACGTAATAATATAATGTGTAAAAAAGTACCTGAAATTTCATTTATGAAATATATAAGTATTATTACATCATTGATGTAAAATAAAAAAAATGTTGATTTTCCGAGAGTTTCCGAGATTTCCGGGTGGGTGAAAATTATGTCATCATTATTAATACTGCGTCAGACTATTCCAACCAAATTAAAAAAAAAAAAGTAAGTTTTTACGGTAAATTTCAAATGGACTCAATTTTTCCGAGGTTTCCCATATTTCTCGACCAGTGAAAATTATGTAGTTATTCATATTTCGACAAGTTACTCCAGTTTAAAAAAAAGGAATCTAGCTGCAATGGAACCCGAGATAATGTTAATTTTTCCTACGTGTTTCAATTTGAGTTATCCCCTTCACTTTCCCATGTCGATCTTTCAAAAGTACCTTCGTTTCGAAGGGCTGTAAGTTTCGAAGAATTGAATGAATTTTATATCTATAAGTTTCAATGTAAAGTTTAGAGATTTATTCAAAATTTGTGCAAATTTTACTTCTCAAAGTTTATAAACAATCGAGATATGATTTTTTAAAAAATAGTCCCTAACTTCGTTCCTATTGGTCATAGAAAGTTGCTATCATCAAGTCCTCCTAGACACTTCTCAGGACCAGCAACTTCATGTGGAGTGGTACGTTGCCATGTTACCAAATCCACTGGTATCTTTAACATCTTAATATATCATATAAAATAATGCAAACTAAGTTTAAACATATAACGGGTTTTTACCTAGATATTTAGTGGTCCAAAACATGTACACCTAGACACTGACAATGGAACATGGATTCCGAAAACATTTTGTGATATAGTCCGATTGGGTTTTTAAATTTTATACCTTTTATAAAGGATTTTATTAAATCTTTTGTGATACATGATATACAGCCAACTACAGGAACTTAGTTTCATGGTGAAGTTAGTAGATAGTTTTAAAGATAGATAATTATATGTTTTAAGGCCGGGAAGTAAAAAATAAAATTGACAAATGATTTTATTTTATTAATGTATTTAAATCTAGAATATATTTTAATGAAATGAGGTGAAAAATGACAGATACATATATATCAAATGGAAAATGACAATATTTCAGAAATCAAAATGGCTGATGGTTTTTATACTTTTTATTGAAAATTGGATCCACTTACCGGCTCAGAGTGGCTACAAACCAAACGAGATACTAAAAAAAACAAACCAAAACGTTCTGCAACTTCTTCTTCCTCAAAGAAAACTTTAATATTCTAAAAATAACTTCTAAGCCATCCCTAGCCATCTACTTTTTAAACCCAACTCTCCTTCCCCGGAGAACAAAAGTAAGCGATGACCACTAGTCGCTAGTCGGATAAGCATGTCGGTCAAAACTGGCGCTTGGAGTCGCTGCGTAATATTAACTAAGAAATTAAAAAATTTTAATGTACATAATGCACATTATTATTCCTATGTTGGTGGCAATCCCCACGTGCGTTGTTCAAGAATCTAAGCATCAGCATAGGTTTAGCATAAACGACTGCATAGAAGTAGTTGAAGATTATCTACTTGGACTTATGAATTGTCTGCTCGTTTAGATGGTGCTGATTACTTACATTTACTGGAAAATATTTATTTATTATTTACCTGATTTGTTAGATGATGTGCCTTTAAATTTTCAACAAAATTTATGGCTTCTACATGACGGCTGTCCGGCCCACTTTAGCATGAATGTACGAGACGTTCATGATAATAACTACAAAGACCACTGGATTGAAAGAGGCCATCCAGTTGCTTGGCTAGCAAGGTCGGTGGATTTGAATCCTTGCGATTATTGTGTTTGGGAATACATAAAAGTATTTGTTTATTCCATTCCGATACAAAATCGTGCACAACTCTAGCTAAGGTTAGAAGATGCTCGCAACGAATTTGGAAATAACATTGACATTTTCGCAAGAATTGGGAGTTCTTCTGCACTGCCTTTTTTTAGATGGCAATAAAATTATATTAGAGGGGTTATACTTGGGTAAGTTAGAAACAAAAATACAAAAATGGGAAAGTAAGGTATGAATTGCTTACGCAAGGTTAGTAGGTCAGATAGGATTTGCTTCACCTCTTTCGACACTAGCGAACCGCCACTGAGCTCTACAATAAATACTGAGATAAAAATATATATATAGTTTTTGAACCGTTTATAGATTTTTCTAAGTCTTATTTATTACTGTTCAATTTTATTATTAATCAGATGAAACATCAATTTACTGATACTTTTATTTTTATTTCAGACGATCTCTGCCGAAAACTTCAAACTGACAAGGAAAATGGACTGACTCCACAACAAGCAGCCGCCGTGATGCAAAAAACGGGACCAAATCAATTAACTCCTTCTCACAAAGTGCCTGAATATATTAAGTTTATTAAAACATTAACACAAGGTATATAATTTTTTAATCTTGATAAGTTATATTTTTTAATTCACTGTAAGTGTAGGTAGCTAAAAAAGCAACACTAAAATAACTTGCATTTTGTGATTTTGATAAATAGAATAATTGGGCAAAGAATAAAAAAGATGGGACTAGAAGTAAATGAAGAAAAAACACAGACAGTAAGTAAATAAAGAGAAAAACAAGACATTTAAATAAAATCCAGACCTTACTTAACTGCTTATTGTTGGTTCAAAGTGAATTATTATTTTTAAATTATTAATTCAATATTTTATCAAAAATTAACAAAATTATTACGAAATGGAACATACTGCATTTTACTATCTTTTTCGTTTCCATTTATAATTTTTTACCCGAGATAATATTGTCTTCTATTTTGTTATCTAAAATGAAATATAGATAAATCTTGTAAGAATGTTCATTTCATCTAGTAATCTTTGGTAATGTTAACATGAAAAATAAAACAAAACCTGTGCCGTATGTGTTATCTGCGGTATACATAGGCTTTTGTCGAAAAAGATCTTTTTCATACCCACAAGCTGAGACTTCAGAATGAGCGAATTAGGTAACCTAAAAAATTTGTTATGGTAAAAAAAATATTTAAAAATATGTTAAAAAAATTGCTTAAACCATTTTTGACCATGATTTTCTCTTGGCAACATCTTCTTTTGTTATAAGAGGACTATTTCCAGTAAGATTATGAATTTAAACTTTGAGAACATGTAATTTCTTACAATATAATATTATATAAATATACAATTTTTTGTTCCAAAAATATTTTTTTAATACGAAAAAATTGTTTTGTTCAAATTTAATAAGAGTATTAGAAAAAATTGTTTATAAATAACGATTTAATACTATTTATAAATAATATTTATTTAATAGAATTATATCTTAAATAAATAAATCAAAAAAGAGCAACGAAAAGTGATTTAAGAAAAGGCTTGTGCATTCCGTATTTATTTTAACGTTGTACACTTCCCGTCATATAAAACTTGTACACTTTTTTTCCCAATGACTGTGTTCAGACTAGACACAAAGGTTTGTGAATCAATTCGTTGTTGCCATCATAGATAACGGAATTGCACTAAATCTACATAAAAAATAACGTTCAAAAATCTATAAAATTTTTAGATAGGTATTATTTTTATCATTAACAATAAAAAACCGTATCTAATAGATTAAATAACCAAAGATAGGGTTGAGTTAATATCCAAAATATTTGAAGGATCTTTAAACCTAAGGTATTGGCACAGGGAACATTGGAATTGGAATGAATCTACTGTAATTTTATACTTGAATTACCTAACAAACACGAACTGTATTTTCTGTCAATAAGTTTTGTAACAGGCAAACTACCAAGATTAATTTATTATTTATTACAAGAACCATAAAAAATGTAAAAAAACTAACATTATACTTTATCCTATTTATTATAAATTATAAAATATTCGGGGCGAAAAAACGCTTTTCAAAACGTGACAGTTACAATCCAATATCTCACTGTAATGGTTTATTTTAATAATTTAAAGTTATGTCTAGATTAATTACCTATCATTATTTTTGAATTGAAATATTTTCATAAATTATTATATAACAGAAATCAATGTATGGTTACTTAATTGAGATGATGGAAAATTACAAAATTAATATGAGAATTTTTTAGGATGCATGTTTAAACAAATTTAATATGACTGACTGATCGATAATGCTCGATAATGTTTTAGTTTTAAGTATACTCAAAACTGGCTGTCTGTCACACAACCCTGCTTTTAGATGGTTTCATATAATATTCTCGTTGAACTGGCAATGGTGCCCTAGAAATTACAATGACACATGTGACAAGATCAACGTACATAACTTAAAAAACACGATTTTTGATTATAAAAATTGTACCAGTTTTTAATGACGCGAACGGTACAACAGCTTAAAAAAAAGAGCAAATTTAGCCCAGTAGAACCCGAGATATGTCATTTTTTTCGGTCGCTCTATCTTGAAACTGTGTTGGCTTTTTTTAAGAGCGCGGATGGCCCTTCATGCGGCTAGTCCCACTCCTTTTACACTAGTCGGAACAAAAAGTGACTTTTCTTATAAAATATTGGTTAATTTCAGCCCTTAATATTGGTAATTTCACTTAACGTTGATCTTGGCTGCTAAAGATGATGGGACCTCTTTTTTTCTAAAAATTTTGCTTTTTAACCAAATTTCTGAATATATTTTGCCATTTAATTTGAACTAAATTCTTCTTAGTTATTGTAAATGTTCATAAGCTTAAATATTGCTATTTATTAATAAATCATTTTGTGTACATGAATGAATTTTTTAACACTTTTTTTCATAGGTTATTATTATGCGTGTTAACAAAGAAACTAAGCATCAGATTATTGAGATACATTCAGTAAAATTATCTGGACCGGCCTTAGATATTAGCTCATTATAAACAAATTAAATTTCGCAAAAACTATTTAACTGATCTGACCGATCTTTTGCACACAATTCAAACAGGATAAGACACTTAAGGTTAGGTAGATTTAGACATATTTTAATAAATATTAACAAAAATTCTTATTTTTTATTAAGTTGATTGGTCTAATTCTTACGGGTTTTAAAGCCGTTGTTGAGAAACCTTCAACATTACATTTTCGCTCAAACTTACGTGTACCTACCTTCTACTAAAAGCTCTATATTGAATAGTATTACTTTATTTTTGTTTCAGGTTTTTCGTTATTATTATGGATAGGAGCCGGTCTTTGCTTCACCGCTTGCCTTATTAGAAAAGTTACAACAGAAGAAACAGATACAGATAATCTTATATTAGGATTGGTGCTTGTTGTAGTAGTTGTTGTTACTGGATGTTTTATGTATTCCCAAGAGCACAAAAGTCAAAAGGTAAATCAGATATTTAAGTGGTTTAGAATGTTTAGGTGAATATTTTGCTACATGTAAGGAATTCTTCACGAGTCGTAGAAATAGTTTCTCGTTTCTCGATCGTAACTAAACAACAAATATGAAACCGGCAACTGAGAACGAAAATCGCATAGTGGCTTTTTATAAATTAGACCTAACATAAGTGATTTTTGGGAAGGGGATGTGCCGTTTGTTTCAAAATATTGGTTCCCAGGTGAAATAATACGTTTTAGAACTCTTTTAACTAAAACCCAATAAAATTTTGAGAAAGATTACACTTGATTAATACTTGAATGAAGTGATTTAAAAGAAAACGTATGCCCCAAACATAACTTATTACTAAAAGTGTCTTTTAAGTTTAAGGGTATTTTATACACTCATACGTATTCGAAACGATAAAAATTAATAATCCCAAGACATAGTTAAATAAAAATACAGGCACGTAATAAGTTATAAATTCAAGAAATTTAACCTGCTACAATATGAGGGAGTTCAATTTTATATCGTTAAAAAGTTTACTTGCTTCTTCATACGATCATTTCCAATCACCAAATCCAACCAATATAAGTATTTAGGTATCACTGTTAAAATATTGAGTTTTGACAGTTTATGGATAGACAAATAATAATGGTGTTGTTTACTATCTCAATAAATACTACTATTTTTGTCTTATGTTAAACAGCTACCGTCTAATTTATACTTAGCAGATGTACGTGAATTAAAGATTGTTACCACACTTTCACTGTTATTCAGTTTAATTAAATATTTTTAACAAATGTTTTTCGGTTATTTGGTTAATTATTTATTATTGCATCACTCTAGTATCATTTTTGAAAAGTGGATGAATTGAACACTTTTAACAAAGTTTCTTTAATTATTTGGTTAATTATTTATTATTGCGTCAAATTACTATTATTTTTAAAAAGAAGATTAAATAAGAATAAGAAAATGATAAGAAGAATAAGAAGATTAAATAATATACTATATAAAAAATTCTAAATGGCGGCGACACTGGAAACGATGGCGTCATACAAACTTGAGTATAATGTGCAGAATAAAATGCCATTTAGTATCCCAAATTTCATAATTTTAAGTTTATTCCTTTCAAAGATGGTCTTGTTGCTAGATTTTTGCAACCCTGTATATATATATATATATTTATTATATATATATATATATTAGCTTTATATGCTTTTAGTTAATCTAAGTCGCAAACTTAAAAAGCTTTATGTGTTTTAGATCATGGAATCATTTGCTAATATGGTTCCTCCAAAAGCAACTGTGATAAGAGGAGGAGAAACAATGACTATTGTTTCCAAAGAGATAGTAGTAGGTGATCTGGTAGAAATGAAGTTTGGAGATCGGATACCAGCTGATATTAGAATAATTCATAGTCAAGGATTTAAGGTAAATTTGAAAATTTGATAATAGCTCGTCAACAAAAAAAATATAGAAAGGCGTATTAGAAACACACATTCAATGATTTAAAAAAAACTTTATTTACAAATATCAGACCGCTGTGGTAATTCTAGCCTAATTCGAAGTAAACAATTATTTTTCAAAATGTATAACCAAAAAAATTGTTGCAGGTTATGTTTTTTCAAAACTGACTCACTTGGCCTCGATCTTGCAGGCAATAACCTGCTTTTAACTGAAAAAATATCTAATAGTGGTGTTTGTATCCTCGGGATATCAAATTCTGACTATTTTGTGTATTTTTATGTGCTATTTGTTTGTATAATGTGTATTTATGTAGATGTTTGTGTAGTGTGTGTTGCATATGTATTGTGTATATTATTGTAGATGATATCTCTCCGAGTTTCTATTAATCTGTTATTCTAGGTATATTCTTGTTGTTGTCTTTTTCTATTAGTATTGGAAACAAAGGTTGCTACATTCTGCTGATGGGTTTGTAAATGATGGACATTTTTTTTATTCAATGGGATGAGAGCTGCTTCATTGACTTTTCTCTTTTCATGTATATTTCTTTCATGATTGGTAACGCATATTTTCATTGTACTCTGGGCTCGTTGCCCCATGCATGTTTGCATATCTGAGATTTGTCTAAGTCTCTGTTTTTATTATACTCTAAGCTTTTTGTATTTAATGCTTAATGGTTAAAATTTACTACAATATGAAAGAGATCCGAGCCGAGGCAAAGTCTCTGACAGAGTCGAAGAGTTACAAACTCTAGATGATGTACGTGACATGCGTCTATTAATAATTTTTAATTTTCAGGTAGATAATTCAGCTTTAACAGGTGAATCGGAACCTCAATATCGCGGAACTGAATGTTCAAGTGACAACATATTAGAAACTAAGAATTTTGCTTTTTTCTCCACTAATGCTGTAGAAGGAACTGCAAGAGGTAAGCGTATACAAACTAAAATTTTTTTTTTTTTTAATATTTCTATATCTCAGTAACCTCTTACAAAATAAGAATAATTATGAATTGTTAATAGGTTTAACTAACCATTCCCCAAAAAGTAACGGATCATAAGCATCTAAGAACAATGGTATTACTTTGCAACTTTCGAAAAGAGAAAAGAAACATTTTAAAGGCAGAACAAAAAAAAACAACGCAACCTATATTGGCAGAAATCTTAAATTCGGAATATTTAAAAGAAAAATTAGATATAAATACACTCAATTGTAAAATTAACTTCTTCTTTTTCTTCTTAGCCTTCTGTCGTCCATGTTTGGACATAAGCCTCTCCCAACTCCTTCCATCGGTCTCTATCCTGAACAACATATTTCCAATTTGTTCCGGCTATTCTTCTAATGTCATCAACCCATCTCATCTGTGGTCTTCCTCTTGGTCGTTTACTTTCGTAAGGTCTCCAATGTTGTATTGTAGTATTCCAACGTTGGTCTTTCTGTCTAGCAGTGTGGCCCGCGAAGCTCCATTTAAGTTTTGCAATTTTTATTGTTATGTCCTCGACTTTTGTTTTGGATCTTACCCAGTCGTTCCTCTTTTTATCTGACAGCCATATACCTAACATTGCTCTTTTCATTGTTTTTTCTGTTGTGCCTAGTTTATTCATGTTTGCCTTAGTTAGGGTCCAGGTTTGACATCCATATGTCATGATAGGAAGGAATGCACTGGTTGAACACTTTGCTCCTCAAGTATTGGGGTATTTTGCGGTTCTTAAGTATCCAACTAAGTTTTCCAAATCCTGCTCATGCTAGTCTTGCTCTTCTAGTAATTTCCGCACTTTGGTTCTCTTTGTCAAGTCTCAGGATTTGGCCTAGGTAGATATATTCCTGGATTTGTTCTATCTCACTGCCGTTTATAGTTATATATCTGGGGTCTTCTGTGTTTGTCATTATATTTGTTTTTTTCATATTCATTTTTAGGCCGACGTATTGGGAGCTGGCTGCTAGTTCCCCCAACATAATTTGCAGCTCCTCGAATGTGCTCGCTATAATCACTATGTCGTCAGCGAATCTGAGGTGGTTTAACTTGTTGCCATTAACGTTAATGCCATAGGTTGACCAATTTGTAGTTTCGAAGACGTCTTCTAGGGCTAGGTTGAAAAGCTTTGGCGATATTACGTCTCCTTGTCTCACTCCTCTCTTAATGGGGATGGGATTTTTATTTTCGTCTAGTTGTACTATCATAGTTGCATTTTCATATATATTATGTATTAGTTGCCTATATCTCGAGTCTATTCTACAATTATTAATAGCTTGTTCTATGGCCCACATCTCGATACTATCAAACGCCTTTTCATAGTCGACGAAGGCAAGAAATACGGGTAGTTGGTATTCATTTGCCTTCTCTCTCAATGTTCTCATTGTCCGCAGATGGTCTGATGTACTATATCCTTTGCGGAAGCCAGCTTGTTCAACCGGTTGGTAATTATCCATTATGTAGGTTAACCGGTTATTAATAATTCTCATAAATAGTTTGTATACTTGACTGAGCAACGATATAGGTCTATAATTGTGTAGATCACATTTGTCCCCTTTTTTTGTGTAAGAGTATTACTAGACTCTCGTTCCAGTCTTTAGGGATCTGGCTATTATGGAGACATCTATTATATAGCTCTGTTAGTACAGGGATTTTTAATGTCTTGCTTGTTTTCAAGAGCTCGGAAATTATAACGTCGTGTCCTGGAGCTTTATTATTTTTTAGTTCTTTTAAAGCTTTTTCTATTTTGTATCACTTTATATTTGGTAGTACTTCTGATCCCACGTTTTTTATTTTTCTTTTGACGTTCTCCTTTGTTGTTTCATTAGGCTGGCTTTGCGAGTAAAATTAACTATACATTTGATTCTTTCATTCACATGAAATGTCACATTCTCTCGGACAACATATCCCTTGATTTGAACCCAAATTAATTCAATTAGATTTAACTTGCAATGGTAAGATGGAAATCTCAAAACAATAATACCATGAAGTCTAGCCATTAAATCATATTGGCGATATCTACCACGATGCTCCTTGATTATTGTCATTAGTTCTGCTTTGACATTGAAATACAGTCCTCTCTCTCTATAACGATATGCAAGGGACCGGGAATTTTCATCGTTATAAGGAGAGATCGTTATACAGAGAGAGACAAAATTCCGTACTGTAATATTAATAATACTGTACTAAATAACCTATTTTAATTTAAAAAAATTATCAAAACAAATATAAATGACTTAACATTGTATTCCACATAGATTTATTAATGAATAATATAAGCAATACAGTATAAAAAATGACTGTGCAATTAAAACATGTGTACTGTACAATAAAAAAATAAAATGCTACTGTAAAATATATTTAGCCTACATTATCAAAAAATCTGTCACCTTGGTCTGTCTTCTTTTCCCTTTCCACAGAACTGACCTGACCTTGTCCTGAAGACGCATCGAATCTTCTACAGCACTCATATCGTCGTCCTGGTGGATGTAAATCGATGCAGTACTTTTGCCGCATCCAATGCCTGCTGAGGGGTCGGAGCTGGTTCTGACTCTGCTTCCACTTCAGAGTCACTGTTTTCTTCTTCTTCTACACGAACTGCTTGCAGGATATCCTCGTCAGAAAGTAAAGCTGTTGTAGCTACATTTTTATCAACTTCTTCAAAATCTGTTAGCTCTTCCGGTCCGTAGGTGATAGTAAATTCAAACTGTCTGGCCCAAACATCGAATGGCAGGTCATCTTCATCATAAGCCAATCCTTGATCTTCCAGCCATCCTGCGTGTTTGAAGGAATGTTGTATTGTATTACTCGTCACCTCGTCCCAGGATTTACTAATCATTAGGATGGCGTCAAGAATGTTTAGTTTAAGATCGCCATTATTCTCAACCAATTCCATCAAAAGTCTTCTCCTGTAATGGTTTTTTAAACTCTTGATGACACTTTGGTCCATGGGCTGAAGGACACTCATTGTGTTTGCTGGCAGAAAATAGAGTTCGATGTTTTGAAGATCGTGCAATACAGGATGAGCAGGACAATTGTCTACAAGCAAAAGAATTTTTTTTCCTTTAAGCTCGATATCCCACTTTCTTATCGCTTCTTCAAAAATTTCCGAGGTCATTCACGCACTCTTGTTTGCTTTATATGTCACCGGTAGATTTTTTATGTTTTTAAAGCAACGCGGGTTTTTCGACTTCCCTATCACTAACAATTTTCGCTTCACCGAACCTGTCATGTTAGCCGCTACTAAAACTGTAATGCCTTCCTTAGAGAGCTTTCCACCAACGCACTTTTCCAATTTAAATTTTAAAGTTCTGTTGGGTGTCATTTTAAAAAACAATTCAGTCTCATCCGCATTGAAAATGTCGTCTGACGCATATCGTGCCTTCAGTCCAGGCCACACGTTTTCTAGCCAATGATCCGTTACGTTTTTGTTAACATCGCGAGCCTCTCCGCTGATTTGGCCGTAGTTGATCTTGTGCCGCATCTTCCACTTGCTCAGCCAACCCTCAGATGCCATAAAATTTTCAATTCCAAGTTCAGTTGCAAAAAATTCAGCTTTTGTCCTGACCACAGGCCCAGAAAGTGGAATATGGTTCATACGCTGCTGCTGGAACCACTGAAGCATAGCGCGATCTAAATCTTCGTGCTGAGGTTTCCGCAACTTCTTCCTGCTACCGCCCTCCATCTCCGCTTTAAGCCACTTTTTTCTGTCCTTCCATATCGTAGCCACAGTTGACTGAGACAGCCCCGTCCGGCGAACGACATCCGATTGCTTTTCACCTTTCTCTATTGCTCGAGTTATCGATAGTTTTTCCTCCACCGAGAGCACTTTACGCTTTTTTGAAAACATGTTGACTGTTGGCACACTAAGACGCAACTCAAACTGGAAATTAAAAGTCGTCAATAGATGACAACATCTGTGTGATAACAGTTAATTACGCCGCCCGAACAATAAACGTCACTTAACCCTCTGATAAGAAAGAGTGTATGCCGCATTCCTTAAACGCAAAACAAAACAACCGCTGAACAATGACCTTCTTATTCGTGACTCAGGTAGTCTGAACTTTAAATACAATAACACATTTGTCATCAACTATTGAACGCTAAAAAAGTTATCGCTATAAAGAGAGAACGATATCGGTATAGAGAAAGAATTAATACATTGTTCTTATGACGAACCAACCAACGTTTACTATTTTCATCGTTATAGAGGAATTATCGTTATATAGGGAATCGTTATAGAGAGAGACTACTGTACATTTTTCCCGTAGCTAGCTATACATGATGGATTTTGTATCAGTCATCGTTGGAATGCGTTTAACAAGGCGGCTGTGATAAATGCATTATCCAATAATATGACAGAGTTACCATCTGCACGCTGGAGAATGTTCTCGAATTATATGGAGTTTGTCTCTTCATAATAGTCCCCAGTTTTTATCTTGTCAATAAACCTTCAATAAAGGTTTGTTTCGCATGTATTACTGTTGAATCTTGCCAAACTTTGGCGACTGTATGTCCGGTATTAACTAAAGTCTCGTTGAAATAAGTTTTTTGTTTTGCCGCGCGATATTTCCGAATTGAGCGTAGATAATTACGTCACCAGAATCTAATTTTCTCCTTGTCTGTTAACATGAAATTCCGGCATCGTTTTGTACATCGAAAGTTAAGATCTTGTTATGCTGTTTATAATAATTCGCGTCGATTTAAGAGTTAGAGCCCCAATTTCCAAGAATAATGAATGTAGAGTTCTGCGGAGAATTTTTTTTATATTAATTATATTACTATAATTATTACTTAATAGGTTTTCGTCAGCGTTGATTTGCAGCTGGAGATTTAAAAGCATTTGTTAGGTTTTTCTCACGCACAATACGTTCAACTGTTGCTACTGATACTCCAGGTAAAAAAGAACAGCGACTAACAACTTCCGTTAAATGTAGGGTTTTTAGTCGATCTTCCAGATAATTTGTTTTTTGTCTTGTGAGACGGATCTATAACGTGGTTATCGTGAACTTATACCCCTGATTATATCTATTTTTATTCTATGAAGAACTGATGGAATATACGGGAAATCGTGTTACTTCAACCTAATATTTTGTCTTACTTCAAAGTGAAAATAAAAAACTAATTAACAAAATAAGTACGAAAACTATTAAGACAAAGCAATCGAACACAAATTTAACAGCCGATACTATAATAACATTTTGCCTATTGATTATTTACCGGTTATGCTACTCTCACTAAGACATTATCCGGACCATTTAATTTTCAATAATCAACAAAAATATAATACATTGACAAATATGAATTTCATGGTAGCCATGGTAGACATCTTCGCCATCACTGTACATATTTAGTTGTCGATAACAGTTTTTAGATAACATGAATAATTTTCAATAGTATGTTTGGATTTAATAAATTCATTCGGTAAAAGCTTTAATCCTAGGAAGGCACTTACCTAAATTCCCATAATAGTATGGTAAGATCGGGTAATTCTTATATAATAATAAACATAATATATAATAATAATCAAAATTCACAGAACGACAAAGGCACTAACAGAGACATAATGATAGAATTAATTTATAATAAAATAATTCAATTCTAAAAAAAATAATGAAATAACCACGCCACTGGAATTGTATGATTTTTGGATGGCCTTAACGACAGCAGTGAGCTTAAGAAAGCGCAGTTGCCACAATTACCTCAATGTATATTACCTATGTCTAGCTGAAAGTTTTACGTACTGTATTAGTAGCAATAGTAATTAATTATATTTATTTAAATGATTAAATGGTGAATTAGAGAAAACAAAGCGTAATAACTTAAACTTTTAGGGATCGTCTGTGAGACCGGTGACCGAACAGTAATGGGAAGAATCGCTGGTTTAACAGCCCGTCTGCAACCAAATAAAACACCAATCGCTAGAGAATTAGAACACTTTATGAAAATCATCAGTGTGTGGGCTTGTTTCCTTGGTTTTGTATTTGGATCCGCGGCTCTTGCTATGAATTATTCTTGGATTGAAGCTTCTCTGTTTCTTATAGGAATTATTGTCGCTAATGTACCTGAAGGTAAGACTTTTGATGTAGTATTCTTTTATATTGTAGTATCATGCATAATGTATTTAGTATATGTAATTACGTACCGTATGTTGTCAGGTCTCCTTGCCACAGTAACTGTTTGTCTATCAGTAACTGCCAAAAGGATGGCAGCTAAAAATTGTCTTGTAAAGAATTTGGAAGCTGTTGAAACTCTGGGATCCACTTCCATTATCTGTTCAGACAAAACTGGAACTCTAACTCAAAATAAAATGACGGTGTGTCATTTTTGGTGTTACAATCAAATTATGGATGCTGATTCTACAATCCAACAGGACCATGCAAAGGACTACAATAAATCAGAAAGTAAGTTATTTGATGAAATAATTTTTGTTGGTTTACTACTGAAAAACAAACTATGTAACAACAATCGGATTTACAATGTATTTACTTGTTTCTTATACTTGCAGGTTTTCATACTCTTATGCGTTGTGCCACGCTTTGTAATAGAGCAGAGTTTGTACATGGTGAAGAAAATAAACCAGTTCTGAGTCGTTTGGTACGAGGAGATGCATCTGAAGAAGCAATTCTAAAATTCGTCGAGTTAACACATATTCACGGAGATCCCACTACGTTCAGGCACAACAATCCCAAGCTAATAGAAATACCCTTCAGCTCTGTTACTAAATACCAGGTAAGTCATTTTCTAATAGCAGTAAAAAATATATAAAATTATTTACTTTTCACCAGATACTCATAAAAAATGTAATGCCGCACACAACATATTAAAATAAAATGGTCGACAAATTTCTTCATTGGTATTTCTTCTAAATTAATAAATCTAAAAGAAATACAAATTCAATCAAAGCATCGGCAGTTACGATGCTTGTACGCATCGTATCCGTCAATCGAACCAGTATAGAAGTCTAGATCGCTATAAAAACTGCAGAACAAAGAAAGGACTTTACAAAAGTATCCAATAACCTGTTCTGTCCCATCGATATTTTGTGAAAGAATGCTACCAAGACCCACATTGCTAGCATCAGTGTCAACTATGAAACTTGCCTTGAAATGTGGTAATGATAGTATTTGTGCAGTGGTCAGAGGGAGTCTTTCAGTCTATCAAAAGCTTTTTGGCGTTGTTAATTCGAGTTAAACTGGTATAGGAACTGGCCAACTCTTTTGACTTTTATGTTCTCAGCATCGGTGCTCACTTCCTCAGATGAAATCACATGTCCAAGAAAGGCCACTTGCTCTTGTAATAACTGACATTTATTGAAAAAAAATCCGTTCCAGTCACAGCAACCAAGGTGTCATCAATACGTGGCAATGGATAACTATCCTTGACCGTAACATTATTTAACATCCTGTAATTCACACAGAATCTACCATCCTCCTTTTCACCAAGGCAACTGGGAAATAGAATTTGTGATGGATCTATTACATCTTGTTTCTGTATTTCCTTTAACCTGATCTCGACTTCTTCTTGTTTTGCAAACGGGACTCTCCTAGGAGCTTGTTTTTTGGGAGCAGCATTTCCAGTGTTTGTTCGATGTTGGGTTACCATCGTTTGCCCATAATCGTTGGATATCAAGGAGAATACATCTTCAGAAGTTTGCAGCAGTTTATAAAAGTTTTTCTTTCTAATTTATGTCTGGATGTTCACTAGACTTCTGGTAAAGGAGTTCAAGCGGTGCTCTTAATTTTCAAGCTATCAGGGATTTTTGTGGTTACACAATACAATTTCTGATACTAGTGACACCCTCAAGAGTTCCTATTAAAATTTCTTTCTTTAATCGAATATCATAACCGTTGAGATTCATTATTCGGATAGGGAACGAGTTGCTGTGTATTCCAGCTAGACTTCTTGCTGGAAGAATGCCTTTAGAGAGTTGTTGGATAACTGTTCGAAGATTCCTAGAACAGTAGTCTGTAATTCTGGTTCTGGTTTGGCAACAACAGGTAACATGATCTTTAATCGGGTTGATAATAGAACATCTTCTTTAACATAGATGCGGCATATTGTTTCACTATAATATTCTGTTGACATCTACACCACTTCTTCATCTTCAATTTGAAGAACATTTGTTTTTAAATCCAAGTTAACGTTATTATGAAGCAAGAAGTCTAGACTAACAATGACATCCTCCATTATATCAGCTACCAGCACACGACGTATGATTTTCTACCCTCCGAGCTGCAACTCTACGTCGGTATAACCATGGATAGGAGCCATTATTCTAGTTGCGGTTGTTAAAGTATAACTTCTCTCGCATCGACGGATCTTCGAAACAGATATCATCCTTGGATAGACTATAGTGTGAGTCGCTCCAGTATTAATGGTTATTTGACAAATTTTTCCATTAAGCTCACCAGAAATTATAAGACTTTTCCCGTTGTGCTAAAGTTGTGAAACTTTAACTACTGGGGAATTGTAGGTGTCAACGAGCGATCGCCCCTTATGGCTGGTTACTGCTCGTTTCTCTATTCATTTCCCTAAGGTACTGTATACTGACATTGATTTCTATGATGACCTAGTTTTTCACACCGCCAACATCTAAGTGTGGTTGGGTGACTATTTTCTTTTTGCTTGAGAAAATCTTTAAATCGTGTTAAAAGTTTACCAAATTTTTCATTATCTTTAATGGCTTGAACCTGGCGAATGCTTATGTAACTTTTTAATGCGGTTTTGGCTGCTTTGTACTCTAAGCATAAGTCAAGATGTCTCCTAGTGTTTTATTTCTAGCTAAGATAGACTAGTCTAAGAAGACGTGCTATATCGGCTTCAAATTCTTGTAGAGATTTACCAGATTTCTGTAGTCTGAATCGTAATCGAGTTTGGTACACTTGCTGTATATGTTTGTTATGCTTTTCCAATTGAGACACTAAGCTGGAAAAGTTCTTTTGCTATTCCTCAGAGGTAGTATGCAAAACATTAAGGGCTTCTCTTTCGAGGAAAGTTACAAGTGCAGTATTCTATTTTTCATCGAACTACAAATTGGCTTGTGCAGCTGCAGATAAACTGACCAACTAGTCTTGCCATCGAATGTTGTTGGTTTTATTTTAACTGGGCTTAAATGAAATGACGTGCGAAATGGGGAATATTTGCAACATTTGCCTGACTTCATTATTTCGGCTACAGTATCTCTTAATTGGGTCCAATTCCTGCATCTCTGTTCGCAGTTGCGAGGTATTAGCATTCACAGCCTCTTGTATCTCTGTGCGAAGTTGCATTGTGCTCTCAGTAGCAACTTATTGTACCTCTATGTGCAGTAGTGTAGTAGTACCAGGCACTTTCGCATTAAGTTCTGAATTGGTTCCTTGTATCCTCGTCTCGAGCCTGCCAATTTGACGATCATGTCTTTTTTAAGACCACCTAACTATTTCGTGATTGTAGCCTGGTTTTTTTTATGGAATTCAGATTTTCTTGCAATGCCGCTTGGCTGTCTTACACATTTTCTTGCATTGCAGTCTAGTTTCGGTCATTTTACTTATTAAATTTTCTTGGAATGTAGTCATCAGACCCTGCAGCATAGCTAGTAATGAAGGATCTTAGTAGGCAGCATTTGCCTTTCCATGGCTCTTTGGGTCTTTGCTATGTTTTCCATGTTTTCCTTTGTAATCGTCCAAGTTTGAGAAACGTAGGTGAGAACAGGAAGTACACATTGGTTGAAGACTCTTGTTTTTAAATATTGGGAGTATTTCCTATTTTTTAGTATACAGGAAAGTATCATTCTCTTTATTTTTCCGGTCTGTTTTTCTTTATTTAATTTATAAATTCATATTTATAATTTATAAAAAAAATAATTTAAATTTTAAAGTGTTTGTCCTTGTGTAGTGTAGTGTGATGTACAATTTCATGTTTATAACATTCTATTATTGTTGGATAGGCCAAATTTGACGAAGTAAGTCTAAAACGATAATCACATCAAAACTTTTATCAACCATCAACTTCAAGTTTTTTATCGAAGTGAATTAATTTCTTCAGTTAAAAAAACGTTTCTTGGCTTATTTCAGATGCCCCTGAAGATGCTCTAGGAAGTGAAAGTACTTGGGCAAGATTTAATTTATAAAACTGTGCTCGATATCTGCCTTTTATTTGATCAAAGTTCATTTATTCAATCATTCAACCTTACCCAATCAATTAGTTTTATGGCTACAATAATTTATATACGTTTTATTTCATTTAAGCAATAATGTACATATTTGGATTTCCGTAGCCCTAATTTTAATCTTTTAATCGCCTTTACATGACTGTCCGTTATTGGCAGGTAAAATTACAATAATTTCTTAGAAAAACTGGAGGCACATTTTGTCCGGAGTTGTTGTAAAGAGGGTCCTTTGTTCAGAGATATCTTCCTATTTACATGACCACATGTGAAATGTTCGGTAACCTTAAATTTGTTCGTTAAGCAGAGGTTTTCGTTGTAGAGAGGTGTCAGTTAACAGAAGATTTACTGTATAAAACTATACTTCCAAAAATACTTAAACGTGACGTAAATGACGTGAAATCAAATCTTAATTGTCTTTTATTTTATTTCGGTTTACTCTTTATGAGTAGGTACTAGAAACCAATTCGGGAAGGGTTTTTGATTAAATGAGGAGATATATCGTGGAATACAATTTTTAGATTCTCCATATCTGTTTAAGGCACACATTAAAGAAAAAAATCTGAATTTTGGTTTCGTCAATTGAAATCTTCACGTTTCTACTTTCGTGATTTATTATCAAATGTCGCCATAGCGTCCATATTTAGTGAAATCGTATAAGCAAATATACAGATATTTTTCTGAAGCTATTTTCTTGTGGCATTTTAAATTAATTACTATTTAACTGGGAATAAATATTTAAGTGGAAGTTGTAATGTCAATAAACGTATTTTAACCTTTAATTGTGGCTTATTCCCAGTTAAATAGTAATCAAATATACAGAGGCACTATACGTAAATCAAATCTTAACTGTCTTTTCTTTTATATTTACCTATTTACTTTTATTATTCAATGCATTGTTGCAAATGCAAATAATCGTTACCATTGGATATGCTTATTTCCAAATTTATGTATTTTATGTTCATTTTTAGATCAGTATTCATGCAATGCAAGAAGGTGGTTGTCTAATGGTAATGAAAGGAGCTCCGGAAAGAATTTTAGCCCGGTGTTCACATATGTGCACTGCAAAAGGTACGGAGGAAATGACCGACGAGATGCGAATGGCATGTGACAAAGCAATGACGGAAATGGCTGAAAAGGGTGAAAGAGTTCTTGGTTTTGCAGATCTTATGTTAGACAGCACCTACACAAAAGATTATAAGTTCTGCGCCGAACCAGCGAACTTTCCTAGAAAAGATCTTAGATTTGTTGGATTTATGTCTCTGATTGATCCTCCAAGGCCTCAAGTACCCGACGCTGTCCAAAGATGTAGAAGTGCTGGTATAAGGGTCATTATGGTTACCGGTGATCACCCTGTAAGTATATTTTAAATACCTAACACTTGATCGAATTTATTTTTATCTAGTAAACTACTGTTTACTGCTTTAATACAATTATTTTTGTTAATTCATCACACTGTTCAAAAAGCAGTATTATTGAGAAATTAGCAAAATGAAAATTTGAAAGTAATATTTTCTATTAGACATTTTATATCATTTAATATAATAATTGGTTTGACCAATTCCATAATACCCTAAATCTTAAAAAAATACTAGTACAGAATTTGGCACATTAATACAGGCAGATAAAATAATTGTAACTTTTTATTTTAATATTTTTAGATAACAGCTAAGGCCATTGCTAAGCAAGTCGGCATAATTAAGTGTACAGACGTCATCGACGCCTTTAATATCAACGTTATTGAGACTCTGCCGCCAAACATCAAAAACAAGGCAATAGTCATTCATGGTTCTGCTTTAAGAGATGCTACTAATCAGGAACTGGACAACATCCTGTATAATTTTAGAGAAATTGTATTTGCCCGAACTTCACCCACACAGAAGCTGCATATAGTAGAAGGGTGTCAAAGGCTTGGAGAAATAGGTGAGTATGATAAACAATAAATAATTACAGGTACTATTTGTTATAGTTTTTAAACTAAGGAATTTAAATATCTAGGCATCACACTATCTAGCTACGGAAATCTCGAAACAGAAGTAGAAGATTAGGTAAATAGAGCAAACAGAGCCGCAGGTTACCTCAATTAAACAATATGGAGAAATAAAAATATCAAGAATGAAATGAAAGGTAGAATTTACAAAACAGTCATCAGACCAATAATGACGTATACGACAGAAATACGACCTGAGACAGAGAAGACAAAGAGGATGTTAGAAACAGCAGAGATGAAAACACTTTAAAAAATTGATTGTAAAACACTATGAGACAAAGCTAGAAGAACAGATATGCGACGTAGCGACGTAGATGCTAGGTGGAGAACATCAAGGACTGGGTAAGAAATAAAAGAGTAGAATGGAATGATCATATAAGCCAAATGACAACAAATAGAGTAGTAAAGATAGCAAGAAACGGTTCTCCAATAGGGAGACGATCAGTAGGATAACCACGGAAACGATGGAACGATAACTTACTGAAGGCACATTGAAAAACAGACAAAGTCATGTCTACATAAAAAAGAAGTTGAAAAACGTACATCTAAACTATTTATATAGTCAATCAACTCTAGAGTTGCCGTTAGGAAGTCATCAGACCAGCTATTATATGATTTTGTGGGGTACTGTTCTGTGATGTGTCTGATAGTTTGTAGAGGTCCTCAGTTACAAAGTAAACATGGTTGTTTACCACATGTGTGCATTATATAGTTACATCGATCGTGTTGGCTTCTAATTCTGTTGGTTAATCCAACCAACCAACCAACAGAATGCCAATCAACAGTTGGATGAAATTCTTCTTCTACAGCTGACTTTGCTGATTTTATTGGAGGTGTCTGGAGCGAAGTTGGTTATGGTTGCAGCATGTATGTCTCGGTGAATTGGTAGAGTTGTGAATGATCTTTTTGTACCTATTTGTAAGAGAGAATATACGTCGTAATTTGGTTGGTGCAATGTGACTCAGGACTGAAAAACATTGCGTGTGAGTAGATTTGATAACGCCAGCAACCATTATTATTGTGTTGATTAGTTGGTCATTTTTTTGTACGTTGGGGTTATTAAGCCAGACTGAGGAAAACTATTCAGCTGACGACTAGGCTAGGCCTAGGTAAGATCGTTGCAGGGTGGATGTTGATGCTCTCCATGTTTGCTGCTCAGCTTCTGGATGATAGTAGATAACATTCTAGGTAATTTGGCATTTAATTCTAGGCGAGCGTGATGTTTTCGGATTGTAAGTTTAGACAAACTTTCTCGGTGTGGTTTCCGGTATATCCGCGATGTATAGGCTAAAGAGCAGAGCAACTAGTACTAATCCCTTTGGTAGTCCATTCTTTAGTTTTACAGTTGTGCTAATGGTAGTTCCCATCACCACTTGGATCGTTCGATCGCTTAGTATACTGTCGATTATTTGAGCCAGGGGATTAACAAGAAATTGTTCGTATAAGCTTGCAAACCATATTTTCCCCCAAACAGCAATAACATTATTAGATCTACGAACGCAGCTACAGTTTTAAGTTTTCTCTCAAATCTGTCTCAATAAAGGTGGTAAGTAAAGGGATTTGATCTATGCAACTTCTCTTTGGTCGAAAGCCTTTCTGTTCGATGGACATTACTTCCTCCTTCTATTGGGGATGAGTTCTAATAACTTTGCTCATAATAGAGCTATTGGCCTGTAGTATTTGGGATTATTAAAGTTTAGCTTGGCAGGTTTTAATATGACAAGTTCTTGTGATATGTTACCAGTCTTCATGATATCTATGAAAAGTGAGCCATCCATTCTCTTGCATATTTGCAGCTGTTCATTAAAAATTCGAAGATGATATTATCACAACCTGGAGCTTTAGAATTTTTTTAAAGCTTTAAGAGCTATTGTAACTTCTTCACTTGTGAAGGGACGAGGGCATTTGGTTTCTGTGACTTGGGATTTTAAGACTTAAGCTCTCGTTTTACACAGTGTGACTTTTTTGGTGCTCTAGATGTCGATACCAAATGTGATGCAATGGTATTACCATTAATTATTCTTGTATCCATTGCCATGGAAGTCCCACTTTCTAGTTTTGTCAGTAGTGTCTATGCTTGCCTACTTTATGTTTAAAATGTCTGACCTTTCATACCAGTTTCGGTTCATTTCTTTTGTCTCCCTTCATCCAGGCTATAATGTAGTTTAACAGCTATTACTTGATCACTACTTTTAAGAAAGTTTTTTTATAATGTTTTATATTGTTGTGGGATTAACCAGGAATGTGTTCCTTATGATAGCCCCCTGGTATATATATATATATATATATATATATATATATATATATATATATATATATATATATATATATATATTATAGCCACGTTTATTACCCACAAATGTTTCGCAGTGTCTAATGGTAGAGGGTATCCAGACTAGAATCTTGTCCAATTCAACCAAAATCCACTCCACTTAACTTTCTTTCGTTTTATCTTGAGCGGGAGATGAATGTTATTATGGGAATGTGTATTCCTACCTTTATGTTCACTGGGAAATGCACACTGTGTGGGAACTCTTCTATTACCTTTCATGAAACTGCAAAAGGTTGTCTGTTATTATTAATCGAATCAAAATATAAAGCAGGGTTGTATCCACCTCCCCTTGTAAAATAAGTAAATGTAATGTAAATCCGTAAAATAGTTTCGAAACACAATTCAGATTGTGTTGATAAAATTGCAAGGTATTACAGACGTTGATAAAGATGTTAGAAGAGGTATGGGGAATCTAAAATTTGCATTCCACGACATGTCTCTTCAACTAAGCAGAAATCTTTAGTGAATTGGTTTCTTGTACTTGTACAAAGAGTAGATCCGAATAAAATGAAAAAGACACAAAATATTTGATTTCACGCAAACAGCGTCTATGTATCTGTTGATACGTATTTCGACCTAATAGGTCTCATCAGAACAGTTATTCATAGGCGTTCTCAACGTGAAAAATCAACATTTTCTGTCTTTTAACATCTTTATCAACGTCTGTAATACCTTGCAATTTTTAGAAGCTTCAGATAAAGTAGAAATCTGAATTGTGTTTCGAAACTATTTTACGGATTTATTATCAGATGTCGCTATTGCGTCCATATCGAAGCCATTTTAGTGTTGCTTCTTAAAAGAGAGAAAATATTGATTTTTCACGTTGAGAACGCCTATGAATAACTCTTCTGATGAGATCTATTAGGTCGAAATACGTATCAACAGATACGTAGACGCTGTTTGTGTGAAATCAAATATTTGCTGTCTTTTTCAAAACTATAAGAGTTTCCTCACGGAAAATGCTTCTTCATCTTCTAGTTCCATGACCATTATCGATCGTCGAATCTTATGTTCGCTAACATATTCGTAATGTGATTGAAGTATGTATTCCAGCTTGCATCTTTTTATTATATTGACCAGTTCTGCTGTTTGGATCTAAGAACTACCTGGTTTGACTCTTTAGACTGTCTCGACCCAGCTTATCCTTTTCAAATACTTCCAAGCGTTTACGCATGACCTTATTTAGAGCCCAATCTTTTACTCCGAATAGTAACATTGGAATTATATAACAATATCTCGTTATAACTTAAAGGTCAATACTAGGATCGTGGCTACAAAGAACCAATTAGTTGGTAATATTCCCAAATGAATTCTGTTAAAGACACGGTTATACAGTGCTTAAATTCCATTTCCTCCCGGCAACTTTATTATTTTAACACTCATCTCATATGCTTTTTCATTTTTTTGCCATTTTGTACTTCCTATATAACTTATCTGTTTGTTATTGATGAACCTATTATGACAATCGTTGTATAGTGTTTTATTCTTTCAAATCTTGTTTGATATCTAGTACTTTGTGTTTCTTTTTGTCTTTAGGATAGTATTTCCGTATATTGCCAGTATTTTTTTAAATTTCTTGTACAAGTTTATAGGTGAAAGATATTATGTTTGTTCTTCTTATAGTTTTCTTCTCATATTTATTAATCTCCTTTCTCTGAAATTGTTCTTTATTACATCTTATCTTTTATGTGATTATCGGAATTGTTTTGAATTCGTTATCTTTATTTCTGACTATTCTTCTTTGGTTATTAAGATTCAGTATATTAACTGTCATTAACTATTTGATTCTTCTTGTTTTTAAATGTTTTTCTAACTTCTTTCAGATGTGTTTATTATGTCAGAAGATTCTGGGCATACGCTATACGATGAAAAAGATATTGTATGTCAGGAATATGGTCCCTATACTAAGTAAAATTATAAATAAAAATAATGGGAAAAATTGTTCTACCTCTTCTATACCAAGTATGCGATACTTAGTTATTTTCTAGTTTCCGAAAAAAAGATAATGTCAAGAAAGAATGTAGGAAAAAAGTATACCATGGAAACGGAAACTATTCTATTAAGATTTTTAAGTAATATGAAAAAGCATCTGAATAAAACTATTTACAAAAAAATAATAATTTCTAACGTTAGATAAAAACATAGAATCAATCAAGGGTTATTATAATTTTGTTCTCACTGTAGAACGATCTTTTTTTGTATAATTTGTTAAATATTTTTAAATTATTAATTATTTTTAGTTGCTGTCACTGGTGATGGTGTCAATGATGCTCCAGCTTTGAAGAAAGCAGACATCGGTATTGCCATGGGCATATCAGGATCAGAAGTATCCCAACAATCTGCAGACATGATTCTTCTGGATGATAATTTCGCATCAATTATTACCGGAGTGGAAGAAGGACGTAGGATATTTGATAATTTAAAGAAGTCTATAGCTTATACTCTTGCGTCAAATGTGCCTGAAATTCTACCTTTCCTGGGTTTCGTACTTCTCAACATTCCACTTCCATTAGGTAAGTTTATTATCCTTAGTTATATTAAATAATTGTAGCGAGCGTTATAAAGGAAAATCCGAAAACTTCTAAAACCCTCTTTTTATTAAAAAAATAATATCTCAAAAACTTTGTTCTTTATTTTTTTTTACCCTGACCTAAACATTAACAAACATTTTGTTAATGTTTAGGTCAGGGTTAAGGTACTGTTTTTTGTTGGAGTTTCGAGACTAGTGGCTTTCTTAAGATGGAGAAGACAAAAAATATGTTGCCTGATTGGGTCTTTTACAGACTGTAAAGACTGGGTCTTTTGTTTTTGTTGGACGATTTACGTGCTTTCCACGACAGTCACGCAACTTTTGATTTGATTTGATTTTTTCAAATAAAATTTTAACTCTGCCTTTCGTTTAAGAATAAGTTTCACAAAATATTTTTTGGTATATCTGTTGTCTTTTTTCAGTTATCAGTATTCAAAATTTATTTGTCGTTTTTTACCTTTATTTAGATGATTTAAGGCACGTGCAGTGGTGGCTTTTGGGGGTAGGCAGGATAGGCCGGGCCTACCCAATAATTTTAAGAGCTTTAAAATTGAAAAATATATATTCAAAAATTATGTTAATGCATGTAAATAACTTTTAAATGTACTAAATCACTCAATACATTAGCGTCCGCTAAAACAACTATGTTATTATATTACCACAGAAAGCATCAAATCGTATTCAGGCATTTTAAATATCATTAATAGGCCCGATAGTAACTGGCCAGCGCACATAAGATCCCCGTACAAAAAGCGTTTGAAGTTAAGCAGTTTGCCGGACAACGATTTATATTGGCGTGTTTATGCTCGCTGTGTAGGCACCAGACGATCGGGCCTAGCGTCGACCATCGTTGTCACTTGTAACGTAATTATCGAATTGTAATATAAATTTTCTTTTAAATTATGATAAAAAAATATGTAACATAATCTATAATAAAATTGTAACATATTTTTAAACAAACAACACAATTGCAAACAAGTTCACGGTTGCATAAATAAATTTTAAAAAATTCGTAAAATTCGAAAAAAAAATCACATGTGCATGATTTCTATTCGCTCCGTGCGTGACCATGGTAGGGGTACATTGAAACGATGCCAGCGTGCGTAGCGGCGAAATATGACAAAATTGGAATATTGGACAAAATATTTTTACGCATAAATTTTATCAAAAATGTGTGGAAATACATGTTGCGTATTTAATTGTGCTAATAATAGCAGAAACAGTGAGTGTAGTTTTTATAGGTTCCCAAAGATTACATATAAATTAGAGAAAAGAAAAAGATGAATTCGTGCTATTAATATGAAAAAGTAAATATGACATAATTTCATTTTTATGTAATTGAAATAGGAAAACTTTAAATAATTTACCTTGAATGATATTTCATAAGGCCTAACTGCAGATGAATTTAGCTTTTATATCACAACTTTTACTATTACTGTTTTTAATTATATGCTCTTTTGCGTGAAAATCTTGATTTGCCAGTCCTAGATTTTTCCCTTTCTTTTCCGTTTGGAGTTGAAAAGATATATTATGATGAATTTTGAGAAACCCAGTTTTTAATACTACATTTATTTTGTACATAAACTGAACAAATATAGTTAAAAACTAATTTATTATTAATTGTCAATGTCGCATGTATTTAACAATGTCAAACATATATCATAATGTTTAACCTGAAAATTGGGACTCCAAAATTGTCAGTTGAAGGCAATAGGTGTCACGTCAGTCACGCACGGAGCGAATATCTTCTGATTGTATGCAACTTATATATGGCAACACTGGCATTAGTTCAATTTTCACTGTTATCTGTTATTACTAGTTGTTTGGTCGATCAAGGTTCATTTTTAAAAATTTTTCTTGGAATAGTGAGATCGTTTTATAACTGATACATAAAAATGAGTTTTTCTGACGCCTTACCAGGTTGCAGTAATAGTAATGTTGATAGTGAGTGTTTGGACATTGTTGTTTCACTATTGGAATTGCCATTATCTAGAATTCTAGAAGAACTGAAGTTGATAGAAAAAAAATTATTATGAATGAAAGGCCTACTCCAACATTGCGTATTGACCAAAAAGATGGGAAAAAGGTGCGTACTTTTAATTGTTCTTTGTATGATGTCTATAAATGGTTGTCTGGAAGTATTACAAAAAATAGACTATATTGTTGGCCGTGTTTGTTATTTTCTAATAAGAAATGTGTATGGAATTGTGAAGGATACTTTGATTTAAAAAATATGTCTGCCTCTTTAAAAAAACATTCCAGTTGCAAGGAACATTTAAGTAATTTCCTGTCCTTTAAGGATGTGCAGAAGAGTATACCAGCTTATTTTCACCAATCGTCCAAACGATCCTATTTTTTAAATAAAATACTTGGAAAACGAATTCCCACAAATAGTGAAGTAAGATGGAATTCAAATGCAAAAGTAGTTTATGCTGTGTCACAATAAAGAAAGAAATTGTTACAAGTCTTTCAGGACATAATGAATTGCCCAGAATCAAATGCAAAATCAATTAGGCAGGCAGATAGTTTTAAACGTAAATTGGAGGACTTGGAATTTGTATTTTTATTAAATGTTTTTAGTGATATATTTCAACAAACTGAGCTCTTATACAACATATTGCAGAAGAAAAATAATGATGTCCAATTGTGTGCCAATTCAGTGTCCAGATGTGTTGCAATGTTAAAGAGCTGGAGAAATGACCTTACATTTTCTAACCATTTTAACATTTCTGTTAGCGGAACACATTCTGAACCCATCTTAAGTCATAGTGAACTTGATATTTTACCTGGTAGTGTATCTAATAACGGAGATCAAAGTTTTTTGGAGAAAGCTAAAACTAAATTTAGAAGGGCCTTTTTTGAGATTTTGGACAATATTATCACTCAATTAGAGCAACGTTTCTCGGATTACGCAAAGTTTCAATTTCTGGAATTGGACGATAATAAAAGATTCACAGAATATGGCGCTAAATTTCCACAAAAAGCTTTGGACTCATTGATGGATACATATGAACCACTTTTTAATAAATCTTTATTAAAAACAGAACTGGAAATGATTTTTTCTGCTATTCATCGTGAAAATTTTCACGATAAGAGTTTGTTAGAACTAATTAAAAGTATGTTTGATAACGAAACCAATGAAATTCTTCCTGAAAGCTATAAGTTATTTTGTTTACTTGCTACAATACCTGCAACAAGCGCTTTAGTTGAAAGAACGTTCTCCACTTTAAAGCGAATAAAGTCATCTCTTCGAAATACAATGACGCAAAATCGGCTTTCATCACTGGCTACTGTATCAATCCAGAAAGATGTTCTTGCTCGATTAATGGAAACGGGCGACACATTTTATGAACGAGTAATTGACAAATTTGCACAAAGCAAAGAGAGAAGAATAAACCAGCTCTATAAATAATAAAATGTTTTTGTAATCTACGTGTATATTTTAGTTCATAATTTTATTTATAAACAAATAGTTTACAAATAACATAATTAAATGTAAGTCCGTTACAGTTACCTTATAATTTTAAGTATTTTTATAAATAAAAATAAATTTATATTTGCATGTATGTAAAAGAAAATCATGGATCTTGAGGGTGATTACTTTTCTCTGATGCAAAGTTATTTTTAGTCTTACCACCAATAGGATAAGTGGATTTTCAAATATTTTTAAGGGGTGGGTCATGACCCCGTGACCCTTCCTCTGGTCCGCCAGTGATTAGACATAGCTATTTGTAATTTGCTGGCTTGGCCTACCCAAAATTTTACCACACCAGCCGCCACTGGGCACGTGTTGTAGACAATAACTCTCCACACTTTGCCGTGTTTAATGCACAAGTAACGTTGCTCCTCTCGCGCTGTGTTTTGTAGTTCTGTAAGGAGAAAATTTAAAATGAATTCCAATATATGGTGTCACTAGTTTGCTTAACGCATAAAGAATGTTTTTCTACTGAAACATCACTTTATCAAAATTTGTCGCTTACAACGTTTTTCCGGGCAGGTCTTTAATTATTTCTCTTACTTGACCATAACCTATATTTATTTATAGTTTATTTTAAGCATAAATTAAATAATCAATTACAATAGATGAAAAACCAAAATCAAATACCAAAATTGATAAACATATCGATTCTCCTCCAAGCAGTATTGAAATAAAAGTTACCTATATATTTTCATGATACTTAATGTAAAATGAAGAAAATATGTACTAAAATTTGTTAATATTTGTATTATTATGTTTTATTTCTGCTTTTAGGTGTTATGGCCATTTTATGTATAGATTTACTGACAGATATGTTACCTGCAATCAGTTTGGCTTACGAAAAAGCGGAAAGTGATATCATGAGCCGTCCACCCAGAAATCCTAAAAAAGACAAGCTGGTTACAAGAAAGTTATACTTTTTGGCTTATGGTCATATTGGTATGATAGAAGCTCTATGTGGATTTTTTGTTTACTTTGCTATAATGGCTGAAAATGGATTTATGCCTAGGGATTTATTTGGTAAGATATATTTGTAAAATGTCAAAATTTATCCAGGTGTTTGGTATATTCTGGATAAATTTCGAGTATTGCAAGTAGGTGTTCGATTTGTAATCTACTCAATAAATACATAAAATAATTAATAAATATGATGTAAGAGAAACAACGGCTTGATCCAAGTAGCATCCATCAATCATTCACTGCAAAGTCTTCTGACTCTTATAAGATAATTTTTTATTTCCAAAATGGGAAAGTTGACGTTTGAACGGTTAATATTAAACTTATTTACCAAAAACGAAATATTCATTCTTCTTCTTCGCGTGCCATATCAGAATTATCTGACGTTGGCGTTCACCATTGCGAAGGCTTCTCGATCTTCTGCAATATGGAATAATTGCCCTGCATTTGGTATCTGAGTCCATTCACGAATGTTTTTTAACCAAGAAACTTGTTGTCTTCCTACACCTCTACGGCCCTCTATTTTGCCTTTAAGGATCAGTTGTAATATTTTATATCGACTGCCCCTTACTATATGTCCCAGATAAGACTTTTTCGATGTTTAACAATCTTTAGCAGTTCTCTATCTTTGTTGACGCTCCTTAGTACTTCTTCATTAGTTTTTCTTGCTGTCCAATGTATCTTCAGCATTCGTCTATGAACCCACATTTACAATTCTTCAATTTTATTCATAATCGCTACTTTTAGCGTCCACACTTCTGCACTATACAAAAGTACGGACCAAACATAGCACTTAACCATTCTTTGCCTTAGTTTTAAACTGAGATGGTTATTGCAAAGAAATAACGTCATTTTCCTAAAAATAGTTTTAGCCATTGCTATTCTATGTTTTATTTCTATGTCTGGATCTAGTTGATCTTTATCACAGTTCAGAAATATGTCATTTTGTGAACCTTCTCAACTTGGACTCCGTCCAATTGAAGCTTTGCATCGTGATGTGGGTCACGACTAAATACTAAACATTTGGTTTTGTTTGGGTTTATTTTAATGCCCATTTCGTCTCCTACCTCGTGAATACGATCAAGCAGAATTTGAAGATTTTCAATATTATCTGATATAATTACTGTATCGTCTGCCTATATAATCACATTAAGTAGTTCCCGGTTGATTTTTATTCCATATGGTTGTCTCTCAAGTGCCTTTTTAAATAACTGGTCCGAGTAAACATTGAACAATGTTGGCGAAAAATGCAACCTTGCATTCTGACTCCTCGTTGTATGGAGATTTCATCGGTGTAGTTATCTCCAATTTTTACGATAGCAGTTTGATTCCAGTACACATTTTTAATGACGACAATCATTTTCATCTATTCCGATATTTTTCAGTATTTGCATTAATTTTACATGCTGTACTTTATCGAATGCCTTTTCGAAGTCCACAAAATATGCAAATACATATTTTATTTGGTCACGGCATTTTTGTAATATGATGTTAAGCGTAAAAAGTGCCTTCTTGGTTCCCGTAACATTTCTAAAACCAAATTGGCTATCTTCAAGTCTTCTTCGCATTTGCGTCTAATTCTGTTGTGAAATATTCTGAGGAAAATTTTAATAGCATTTTCCCGCATTGTGTTTTTTAGGTATTGCGACAAAGATGGATTTGGAGCCAATCAGCGGGAAATATTCATATAGAATGTCAAATTTATATTTTGCAATTAAATTCTTATATTCTTTTTAATCTACTTCGTGTGGGCTATGACACGGAACTATAAATATGTAGGAAATTTTTCAGTTTTCACTTTAACCTTCAAATGCATTATTGCCACTAAGGTCTACGCAACTATTTACAACGTCAAAGCTCTGTAGAAAATCCATTAGTTCTGCCATAAATTGATGAATTTTTAATTTAACCGAGCCTATAATGAAAACCCTAAAACACTTACTTAAGTTTAGCCAGAAGATTCCACAAACTTACTTATTTTTGCAATATTATATGTCAATTGTTCAACAAATATTTCTCGTTTTCTTATAATGTTTTATCGCTCGAATAGGCAATCAAGTAATACCCGGCATTAAACAAAAACATAACGAGAATGTTAAAAACGAAAATGGAGAACTGATGATCAACTTCTGCATGAATAACGACCTAAGACTAAACAACATATTTTTGGACCACAAAGACCAACAAAATATACATTTAATAACACCCGTGGACAAAGACCTATGATGGATTATATGTTATATCATCCATCGAAAATAATCGACGTAAGATGACTCAACTAAGCAGATGTAGGTAGCGACCATAGCCTAGTATTATGTAAAATAATTATCCTGAAATACTTTCCACTAAAGAAAGCGGCGCCAGGAATATCAGAGAAGATCACTGGGAATGAAATATTAGAAAACGATAACATCGAGGAAAGCTGGGAAAAACTCAAAAATATTATAATTATGGTAGCAGCAGAATCACTTGTAGAGAGGAAAGTAACAAACACTAACCTCAAAAAAAGAAAACACCATGGTTAGAGAGGAAGTGAAGACAAACAGATTATTGAATGTATTATCAGAAGTGTATTATAGAAGTTGCATTGTTAATGTTAAATAAATGCGACGGTACCTATAGTAAAGATGGTTCTGCAGTTTCACTATATAAACTTTCTACCGGTGTTGTTCTAAATGCTCCCAAAGCAATTCTTAATGCGGTATTGTGTATACTATCTAATGGTTTTAGTGTTGTGTCGGATGCAGAAATATACGCAATGGAGCCAAAATCTATTTTAGATCTAATTAATGCTCTATATAGACTAATTAGTGTATCGTAATCAGAGTTAGATTATAGATAATCAGTTATCCCTGTTAAATAAAGTTCTTAATATATTTAATCTTTTATTTCATGAAGCGACAAGTTGATCTATGTGTTTTTTCCAGGATAGTTTTTGTCCAACCACATTCCCATGAATTTTATATCTGTTTTAAACATGAGCTCTGAATTAAAAAACTTTAATATTGGTTTACTGAAAGCGTGTTTATTAGTGAATACCATACCCACTGTTTTAGATACGGAAAATTTAAATCCTGTGTCGCAGGACCATTCTTCCAGTTGTTTAAGAAAATTTTGTAAGTAAGTAATGTGACATAAGTGAAGAAATAGAAGACTTCTTGTAGAGGTATATAGGTAGATGAACATTTTGCATATAGTCAAATGCGTGCCCTACCACGTAGATTTCTATCGTAGCACTCTTTAATAGTATCCTTTAAATTCCTTTTTTTTTTGTGTATCGACAATTCTGCAACAGCCACTTTTTTGAGGCATCTCTCAGAGAGAGACTTTTGATTTTTAAATTCAACTCTTCACATTTTACGCATGTGTCTATTTGAAGACGGCCAAATTTCAAAGTAAAATTTTCGCGAAAAATATATAATAGCTGTATTTAATTTTCGTTTCAGGATACTTGGATCCAAATATTTCGTACATAATTGTTATATATTATGACGAATTATTATGTTTTGATTTTCTGACATTGCCCGTTTAATATTTTTGCCACGTTTATCTCTAGGAGTCAGATTATTTTTAATCAATGATTTTATTCGCTTTATTCTTTTTACAGATACATAATGCAAATTTAAAAAGCCCTACAATCCACTTTTACTTTCAGATACTTCCCTTAGTTTATTGTTTTTATTTTGAGAGCTTCTTTGTTTTACTACATTTTTCTGATGTATCAAGCCTTGAAGATATATATCCTGTTCATCCTTGTTTTGCATTTTGTAGAAATTATTTAATTCTATTTGCTTTTGCTCATCGTTTACCTTTGTAAAACATTGCATTTTACATCTAAAAAATAACGCATCTATATACTTAGGCTATTCAACATATAACTTTATTTAACTTACTTGCAAGCACCTCCGATTTGCATGGCAGCAACTATCTTGCCTTTATAAGATGTATTATGAACGCAGTATCACTGACTATCTTTTTTGATTAAATTTCTTTGGTAATTATCATCATTTCTCACACCTCGCCGTCTTTTTCTAAGATTATCTGATTAAGGTGGCTTCAATACACCGCTATAAAAAAATGTAGTATTTAACTCATTATTGCTATTTAGTTCTTAAATCATTATTTGTATTTCGTTATTTCAGTCGTTACCTATATATTTAAATCGAATTTTTAAGTCGAGATGTAGTACGTTCGAGTATGAACATTTTTTTATGTTATTATCCCGTAAAGAATAATATCAAATGTAAATATTTTATAAAATAAATTTATTTTAGGTTTACGTGCTCGATGGGATTCAGAAAATGTAAATGATTTAATGGATTCTTATGGACAAGAATGGACTTACGAACACAGAAAGGAGTTGGAATATACATGCTACACAGCTTTTATGATATCCGTAGTCGTCACTCAATGGGCAGATTTAATTGTATGCAAAACTAGAGTCAATTCTATTTTTGTACAAGGTAAGTATTTCTATTGATTTTCTTCGATTTTTCTCAATTTATTTCCTGTTTAAATGAAGGTTTTGAATTATTTCTGCTATTTGCTCCATAATTTCTTATGTTATAATTTGTGTCTTGTCATTAGCCTCATCTTTTTACGATTTGTCCTATTACTGATTTAATTTTCATTTGTTTTGCTTATCAGTATTGTATCTTTCTTATACTATTATTGATATTTAAAGAAACGTGAAGCAAAGGCAGAACAAAGAATAGCAATGAGACAAAACAAAAAATTAAAATGATAATAAAACGAGTGCTGCTACATTTAATATAAAAAAGCAGTCAATATAATAAATGTATCAAAAGGATAAAACGATATATTACTCCGGAAATGACACCCGAGATCATATATACCTACTCAATTTATGTATCCATCTATTTAGCTCAATTTTGTCAAGAAGAAAACCTGACGATAATGAAGGCATGGTTTCAATTACCACCACGTAGATTGTATATCTAAAGGGCACCACAGGATAATGAACAAAATTGCATAAGAAATCAGATCGACTTTATTAAGGTGACCAACTATTTCTTGTGCAAAAAGAGTACACTTTGCAAGTATTTCATAGGTGGAAAAAAAAAAGAAGAAAAAATGATAAAAAATTTATTTTCCTTTAAACCATATTTTTCTTTGGAGTGGATTTTTTTTGCTAAAGGAGGATGTTCTTTTAATAATGTAGCCACATCCGAACAACTTTCATTTTGCATATTAAATTTGACTGTTAAGACGACAGATAATGTTTTTACAGAAAGCTGCGACTTCTCACTGCTCCAATAATCATTCCCTGGAGAAAATACCCTTTCAACAGCAACATTAGTGCCTGGACAACGTAAGGAAATTTCTATTAAAACTTTTAAATTTTCGTGTGGGATATGTTCTACTCTAAAATGCCGAAAGATTTCTACCCATCTTTTGTTAAGTTCTATTTTCTCATCGTTCCATTTCTTCAATTTTTCTACATTCAAATATAAATTTACTCTTCGAATTTCTTCAAAGAGAAAATTGTGATTGATAACGATATCTTTTACTTCCTCATTATAAATTCGACTGCTGAATAAACTTATTTCCATTCAATTTAACTATTTAGAAAGGTCCATTTGAAACAATTTAATGCTCTAAAGTTCACTATCCATTCTTCGATAAATTCATAGCTTTCCTGTGAGCGCGAAATTCAAATCACTGTCAAACTCCTGTCCTCTGACGCAGAATAGGAAACAATTGTTTCTTATTCTCTGCCTCCGAATGGCCTCCGACGTTAAACGACAAGCAGTATGCGCGTGTAAAATTCAAATCACTGTCAAAATAATTTTAAATATTTCATTTATAAAATTGAAACAAAATAATCTAAAAAAATGTTTTAGAAATACAAATGAATATAAAATTATACAAATGAGTACTTTCAGAGTGCAACGTTTAAAATGAGTACGGTTTGCGAAAAAAAAGTACAAAACCCAGTAAATGAGTACAGTTGGTCACCTTAACTCTATACTATCCAATCTAAGATTTAAAAATTCCATTAAAAGCGTTACGACTTACCATGGATCAAATGTTGCATCACACCAAAACCTCTTTGTCTCAAAAATGAAACTGGGGGGCAAAAAATATAATAAAATCCAGAATTTCAAAAGTCAATACTCCAAATAAACGAAATAAGTCTTGCATAAATCAAGAAATAAAAAGGTTAGATAAGATAAGAAATGAAAAAACACTGAGAATGTGAACATTATGTGGGGCAAAATCAAAAATCTATCCATATAAAAGTCTATGATAACACTTCACACCGTTTGTCCGGTAAGTTAACGGCGACACCTAGGAAAGAAATCACAACTATCAACATTTAACATTATTTTCTCTGCAAAATGGTAAAAATATAGGTTACTGTAACTGTAAGGTAAAATCATAGAATAATAAAACAATTGTTATTTACTCTGTGGTAAGATCAATGACGTATAATATATATATATATATATATATATATATATATATATATATATATAAGTATATATATATAATATATATATATATATATATATATATATATATATATATATATATATATAAGATGGTGGTATTCTTGACTGTTGATTTAAATATAAGTTGTGATTTTTGAGGATGCAACGTTGAACAAACGTCAACCCACCAAAATAAAATAAATTTTAAACTAAATAAGATTAAATAAAATTAGATAAAGGGAAATAGATTTAAATAATCCTAAATCAAGTTAAACAGAATTATGTAAAATTAAATAAAAATTAAATTAAATTAAGTAAAATTAAATAAAATTAAGTAAAATCTATACCTGTAAAAATGCTGCTACGTCGTTTCCGCTTCATTTTCCATGTAAAATCCCACAAGAAAATTCTAATTTTCTTTCTGCTCATTCTGGTTCATTCTGCTCATTTTTGAGCGTTTTATGATGGAAGTAGAATAGTTCGTCGAATAGTGATCATTGAAAAGAAGAGGGGTAGAGAATATGTTAAGACATAAAAACCACACATTGCGGCATTGCTAAGAAGGCATTACATCATATCTCCTATGTTATTGGTCCGATTGGAGCGTGTGATACGTTAGATGAAAGCAGAGGATATAACAAATATAGTCGGATAGAAAAAAACAAACAAAGCGACTACCAAAAGAACACTACACAGTATCTTCAATATTAAAGAACGTATAGCGACATACGAGATATCATAGGGCGCTATAGATAAAAATAGATTTACTGTTGTAGCGTTTTTTTATTTAAAGTGTATAGAAAAGATTTCTGTGTTACGCTCCTGTTGTTTTTACCAAAGAAAACAATCGAAATAATATTTCAAGTTTTTTTGACGAGATTTTTAAATGCGTATATTTCTACCGATTCAAAAGTAAATATAGATGTTTTTTTGTCTGTGTTTAGATTCAAATATCGAACCTTTTGTTATAAGCCAGGTAAAACTCAAGTTTAAAATACGCACGTATTTTGTTAATTTGTATTATGTAAATTTATGATGCCCCCTGATAAAAAAAGGTTTTATTTGTTTTCTTCGTTAAAAACGCAATAAACCATGAATTCCCCTAATATTAAAGTTGTTTTTCGTTATTAGTCGAGGGTCAAAAAAAAAGAATATTTGTTTGTTTAGGCAATAAAGGAACATTTAAAATTTGTTTTTTTTGTCGATACGAGCGAGGGGATATTGTTTTGGTTCTTGAGTTTGGGGGACAGGTTAGCTGCAAGACGGAAGGGAAATTTTTGGCTAGATTCTGGTAAAATGTAACGAAGCAAAAGAAGTCGAGATTTAAGTTCCAAGCGGGGCAGACATTTGGGAATGGAGTAAAAGATTTGAGAGGAAGTGATGAAGAACTTCTCGAAGAAAAAAGTCGTTTAATTGTGATGTTGTAAGCCGGCATTCATTCGCCAAAATGGTGGAATTTTCACTCTAAGTAATATGTCGTTTCTGAAAGAGTGACCAGTAACCACTGTTTTTATTTTGGCTGGAGATTTATGATGTTTGAGCAGTGAACAAGTTTAGTTCCTGTTTGTTTTTCGTTTTTTTGAGAGATCCAGTTCCTTCCCGAGATGCCCTTTTCACCTCATGTAGAATAATATTGGAGCAGTTTTGATTTGGATGTGCCAGTTTCAGCTTCCAATAAAGCTTTCCGTTGATGTGCAGTTAGATACCCCGCAGAAGTTAGCCAGTTGTTCAAAAGTTTAAGTTAAGATGTGTGAACTGAGGTAACATTTACGTTATTAATTTTTAAAGTAAAAATAGACATTTTCTTTTAAAAAGACAAAATTTGCTTTCTTTTATAAATTATTTTTTAAATTATTTACTAAGAACCGTTTCGAAGAGTTTTGTAACCTTTTGTAAACAGATATGTAAGTTTTTTTCATTTGTATTTGACAGCTAATTTTATTTAATATGCCTTTGTATAAGCTGTATTTTTGAAAACTGTTTGGTGAGACAAAAATAAATGTTTAATTTGTTTCTCTGATCTATTTTGAGTTTTATTTGAAAAAGATATTTTTTTTCTATATTTTTGATGTTATACAATTATTTCCCTAGTTACAACTAGTGGTTGTAATAGGTATAATTGGGCACCTCAAGTGGCGCCCTATATTAAATTTCTTGAGGTGTTTCCGTTAATTTTCATTCTGTTTGTCCCAAGAGATTTGTATAAGTACCCCTTTATTTCTTTTTTTTGTAGTTGCCCAATCCAACCCCCAATATCTTCAACTTATCCACGACCCAGCTCTCCAACAACCAACTGAGTGTCCGTAAGCACTTGTTCCGATTATTTTGTTTGCCCAATCTTGTCCCCCATATTCTTACCCTGTGGTAAGCAAAATAGTCGTTACACTGTAAGACAAATTTTGAGTTATTGACTTGAAGGCCTCAGGTTGAGAACAAAATAAACCACTGATCGAATCCTAACATGCGACATAGCAAATAAAAGGGGAGAATATGACGAATATATTCAGATAGAACAAAACAAACAAAGAGACTACCAAAATGGCACTGCACATTGTCTTCGTTATAAATGAATGTATAGCGACATACGACATATCACATGACACTATGGATGATAATAGATATATTTACTTTACACATATAAAGCGTAAAGCAAATATAAGGTAAATTTGCTTTATTGACCTGAAAAAGGCCTCTGACTAATTACAAAATAAACAACTAGCCTAATACTAGCATATGACACATCAAATCAAACGACGTGACATATAGTACATAATGTATATAGCATGCCATGAATATAAAGACAGTTTTACATTATGCTATTTTCATGCTAGGCAAGAGCCATGCAAGACAGATTATGGAACTGCACATGCCCACGGGCTATTTCCATGCAATTCCTGTGCTAGACGAAAAATTAGAACATGTTCTGTTTTTCATGCTATTTTCTTGCAATTTATCGTTAAAATTCATGTTGCCAACATAACAATTTATAATAGATTACAGAATAAAACATAACCTTATCTCTATCTTTAGCGTCCCTTAGCCCACGTGTGTATTGTTGTGTTTTGATATACTATGTCTAAAGTTAATGTAAAAGCGACTGGGTGAGTCGTTGACTATGGATGATTGTTGCTACAACAGCAATATTCAACAATAACAATGTTTTCTTTTCTTTGGTTAACATCCTTCACCATTTTAATAATCATAAATAGTGTATATTTATTTATTATATTATTTCTTTTAGTACTTAATTATATTTATTTAAAATAAAATAACCTCAAATTGATAAATATTTTCTCTGTTGGCAACGATGAAAGTGGGATCTAAAATTGCACAGAAATATCTCTGATGTAAAAGGGTCAAGCTAGGCAAGAGATGTGCCATGCAAGACGGACTTGCATAGCATGAGACTTGCATAGCCTAGATGTAAAGCTGCCTTAATAAATATATGTCAGGTTAGAAGGGCTCCAGATCATACTTTATATTTACTTGGATTATAATGCAAAAAGTTTATTATTTTAAAAATTGAATGAATGGCTATAGATGACAATTGATTGGATCCCGCATCCAAAGTTACTAGTTCTCTTATAAAGACACAGAACGAAACTCTGCAAAAGAAAGAAGAAAGCCGAAAATCTTAGATGACTCAAGAAATACTGCAAATCATGGAACAAAGAAGAAATTATAGAATCAAAAACCCAGATAAATACTGGGAAAATCATAAATTAATAAGGAACAAAATAGAAAAAGCTAATAGAAACACTTGCAAAATTATATCAGTTCATTATGTCCGCAATATCATTATCGCTGCACACAGAAGAAGAAATTATAGGTAATCAGCAGCATTATATAAGGATGGCATCTATTTGCGAGTGAACTATTTCTGGGCTTTGTATCAGAAATCATAAAAAAAAGCTAAGTAAAAGTCGATGATGGAAACATGAATGGAAATAAAAGAATTGCAGAAAAAACATGATCATCAGTCTTTAAATTACTCCCAATAGATAATGCTATACATGGCATTCTATATTAAACTTTTTTTTACTTAAACTACGTAAACTGCTATGCTATTTTTTTAATATTTAAAATGGATGCTTTGAATATATATAAATTTTATGGATTTACTTTTTTTTAGGAATGGGAAATATGGTACTTAACATTAGTTTAATAGTGGAAACTGTAGTTGCTTGCATGTTATCATATATTCCTGGAATGTATTATTTGAAGTTTTATCCAATCTTGTTTAGATGGTAAGTAAAAAAGTTTTATTTAAGTTAGTTTATTTATGAAAAAAATTGAAAATAGATTGAAATAAATAATAAATTGAATTTTAAAATCAATTTTAGTTTATATATTGATCAACAAATTCGTGTTCCTAGCTCTTTTGGCTGGCAGGTCTAATCAGAAATTTAAATTTTAAACGTAGGTATCAAAATCCGTGACAGATAAGGGCTCATGACTCGGTCATAGCTCTTTCGTTGATTTCTTCCTGATGACGTTTACATGATAATCATACAATGATTCATATAATGATTCAATGTATCATATAATGATACAAAAAATCAAAAAATACTAACAAAAAGACGACCACCATCCAAAAAAATTAACAAAACCCCAAAACCTGGGCCCAAAGGGATCCTCGGGCAACGAGTTGCCTAACTAAACGCAGCCCGGAACGGAGACTTAAAGCTGGACCAAGCAACTTCAGTTCGATGATACGTCACTAGAAAAAAACAGAAAAAGAGCGCCTCACGCTAGCCTGCATTGATCGGGTTAGGATATCGAGTTGGAGTTCTTGTACCCAGGACTTCCACACAAACAGCATTTGGCTAATAGTTGTGCCACTATCGCGCTTCAAAATGTCATAGGGGAAAAGGGATGGCGTGGAGCATTGGAGCGCGGTGGGGTGGTTACTGATAACACGAATCAATACACCTCGCTCCAATGAATTGTAACACCCGAATGTCATTCTAAGGGATATGTAACATTTTTAACTGCAGATATAGCATTACTTGAACCGGCGTTTTAATATTACTATATAATTGGCTTCCAAGATCTGCGGGTTTGACGCCGAAGGAATTTTTTTCTGGGGATATCTACAAATTTAGTGTATAACGTAGAGGTACTGGATTTTAACAAGAGGTATGAGTCACGCCGATTCAGTACACAAGTTTACGTGTTATTTACAAGGTCATAGCTCTTGTCCAAATCCATTACCTTTAACCCCATCGATTACTCCAGAAGATATGAAAGCTAGAATAAAAAACAATTTTAGTAATTTAAATTATTCGTTGAAATAGTCATTTTGTTTTCAAGTGTAATTTGTGAATTGTAAACGTCTTTACAGTAAACTACTTGTGATCTACTGAGGACAACTGTTTTTTTTATTATAAAAGATCAATTATAATTAGGCCCTTGTTGAAGTTTTTATTATTATGATTAAATATTTCAGATTTATGAAAATTATTATTTTTTTAGGTGGTGTTACTCATTTCCTTTTGCAGTGTTCCTTTTCATCTTCGACGAATTCAGAAAATGGCGCTTACGCAAGAATCCGGATGGATGGTATCGCAAAGAAACCTATTACTAATTTTATTTATTCGTAGAACGTTTTTAATGTAGTTTATAATTTTGTAGTTAAATAAAAACCTTATTAATATATACTTTAATAGATAAATATATATGTAAGACTCAGGTAGTTCGTAATTTAATGGTTAATTTTATTATTGCCGTGTTTTTGTAAAGTGGTTCATTAGTTTCGTTACCGAGTAGTTGTTACCAGTTCATCAATTGTATTTTATTTAAAAGCTGCAATAAAAAGGAATCTCATCATTAAAAAGTTTTTTATTGTAACTACGATTATTTTTCTAGAAGTAAATTCTATTCGACTAAAAACAAAGGAAGTATGTTCATGTATACTGAAAGTTTGGAGGAATGTTTTAAAGGGTTATTGAGCGCACCGTTAAATATACCTTGGCAATATAAGCATATTATGGAATTGCCGCGAAGTGATTTTTTCGAGCAATAAATTTTTAATAATATAGATCTAATGCCGGGTACAGACCAAACAGACAAAACAAAAACATTCATGTTTCGCGACAAAGTGGCGACAAATCGAAAACATTTGTTGAAACATTTCTGAACAATTTTGTTTTGTTTGCAAATTTGAAAACTTTTTCAGGTCCCGTCTCAGGTCGGTAAAGATCAAAAAGTCTGTGTTTTCTCTGTGTATTTGACGACAAGTTGTCGGCGCAGTGTGGACGCGTGTGCGTGCCAAAACGAGTTAAGCAGTAGGAGAAATAGAATGTACAATTTTTATCAAAATTAAGTGTATTTTTCTGTTACTTAGTCTCAACACAAATGTTCACTCAACTCCATCCAACTCCAACCCACAACATTTGTACTCAAATCCACCCAGCACTGACACACAACATTCATACTCAAATCCTCCCAGCATTGACACACGTTCATACTCAACTCCTCGCAGCATTGACACATATTTATACTCAAATCCACCCAGCATTGAACATTTATACTCAAATCCACCCAACACGCAACATTCATACTCAAATCCACCCAGTGCTGACCCACAAAACTATTACTTAAATCCACCAAACACCAACACACGACCTTTATTTTCACATCCACCTAGTATTGACACCATCGAGCAATAAGACAAAAGAGGGAATCTAATCCTTATGAAAAGGAGACCAAAAAAGTGGCCTCTGATCGCGGACATATCCGGAAATGCGAATGCGCCAAATTTAAATTTCATGACACTTATTAACAGTAACTATATAATATTTTTCAGAATGTGTCTTAGACGAGAAAGTTTTAATTAATTATTAAAGGTAACAGTCTAAAATGCGACCCAATTGTTAAAAAACTTCAATATACATAAGATTTCATGTGACATTTGGGACAAACAATATCATAACCTAACTAAATTTGATGTCAAACAAGAAGTGAGACTCTCTTTCCTTGTTTAATGTGGCCTCTAAAGATCGCACTTCCTGTCTAACAATATGTTTGCCCCACTACCTTTACATTCCCTCTATTGTCTTTTTGCTCGATGATTGACACAGAGCTTTCTCAGTATTCAGATCAAGAAAACGAACGAAATTGATGATGAACTTTTTGAATGTAAAAACAAGTAGACTCATCAATATTTTGCATGTAGTATGTACCTATCGTCAACTTCTTTTGTATTAAACATTTAACTAATAAATGTGGAGTTTATTTTAAGGGATATTAACAGAAAAATAGTAATGAAAAAAGTTTAACATACCTGTACATAACCACTAAGACTGTTAATTAAAGCTTTACATACTTCAGGTATTATTACAGATATTGATTGCTTTGATACTTTTGAAAGATACATTAGGCTGTGGTAGGAATCACCTGTTGCTAAAAATCTTAAAGTGATTGCTAACCTTTCTGTTACACTCATAGCATTTCTAAAGTTAGTATGTCTTTTTGCAACTGCAGGAACAACAAGGCATATTAGATTCTCCAAATCTTTAGTGGACATTCTTAAAAAATTTTTGAAGCTTGATCGAATTTCACCACTTAGTCCAATATCATCTGCTCGCAGCTGAACTAACAATTTGTCTATCGAACAACTTTACCGCATTTTTAGGCTTGGTCTAATCCAAAAACGTTTGGGTTTTCTTTTAGCAACCTGGGATGATGATGAGAGCAAAAAAAACTTGCGACTAGCAATAAATCTTCAGTTTCATTTTTTTCTTGATTAAAACGCCACATGGTTAACCAACAATAATCACAACAACAACGTCACCAACTGAATTTGTTTTTATATTTTGTTGTTCTGGTGTGGACAGTTTGTCTCAATTTTGTTTTGTCTTTTGACGACAAATTTTGTCGCTGGTTTATCGTGGTTTTATTTCAGAATCGTGTTTTCGTTTTGTCTGCTTGGTCTGGACCCGGCATAATAGAACAATTCTGTTGAATCAACAGTGTGATAAAAATCTGAAAGTAGACTTTGGCACTGTATTGTAACATGTTTGCTACTATAGAGTGTATATTTAGAGTGCAACAATGCAACAAATTTAAGTTTGGGAATGTGACGTAGTGTTTAGCGCAAGTGGGCGTACTGTTTCTAGGTGGGCGGGCGGAACAGATAGATTAAACAAAAAAAAAATATTTCATAGTTATATTCAATAAATGTGAAGAATGGATTTTTTAATTTTTATTTCTACGGTTTTTATTCATTATAAAGTTTATAGTCAGTTGCACTCGATAAAATAATGAGTAAAATATTAGAAGTACTTTAATAAATAACAAATTCCTGAATACTTACAATTTATTAATATTACCACGAAGAAAGTGTTTCAACAATACAGAAAAAAATAAGTAAGTAGTTTATGATAACCAATTAAATAATATATTTATTTATCTAAACAAGAATGCCTTAGTTATGATTCCTCGCATTAATTTAAGATCTCTATTACTGAATTTGAATCACTATATTCATCCTCAAAAGGCTTTCTTCGGAATTCGGATGAACCAATATTAACAACAAATGGTAAATGGTCCAGCCTAGTGTCTAACAAATATTCTTTTTCAATTTGAGTTTTTTTTTTATATTTCTGTACCTACGTGTTTACATATTTTAGCCCACTCTTCTTTTAACACTTCTAAAAATTTTGTTTTTGTTGTATTATGAATTGCCACTCTACCTTTTTATCAAAGCACATATTTTTCGATGGGATTAAGCAAAGTACTTCTGTCCATATTGTTTAAGCTCACAATCTAATACATAAACAGGTGGAAAACGTGGTTTATGGGCTTGTATCTTCTTCTTCAGCCTGTGTTCGTCCACTGCTGGACATAGGCCTCTTCCATTTGCTTCCATCGATTTCTACTTTTGGCAATTCTCATCCACTGCTTGCCCGCGACTTGTTTGATATCGTCTGTCCACCTCTTCTGCGGTCTGCCTACTCCTCGCCTGTTCTCTCTTGGTCTCCAGTTTGTCAATCTTTGTGTCCATTTTTCGGGGTTATCTCTTTTCGGGCTTGTATAATTTTATATAACTCGGGTATGTTTGTGTGTTTGTGGATAAGGAATATTTTTTTCCTATAACCACTTTACCATAGGTAATATCCCTATGGCTAGTAGACGTCACATTTTTTTCCATCAGCACATTATAATAGGATGCATTATCAACTACCAGGATCCAATTCTTCCATTTGGCGATTTGTCTCTTGCTATTCGTACTATTCTATTTTTCACATCTCGCTCGTATTTCCTAACTTCTTACTCTGTCTCTTAGAATTTGGTGTGTTATTTTTCGTAAGACTTTCATTTTTGTTGTTTCCAACAGTCTTTGTGTTTTCGCCGTATCTGCTCTTGTTTCCGCTGCATACGTCATTATCGGTCTTATTGTTGATTTATATATCCTGGTTTTAGTTTCCGTTATGAGTTATTTGTTTCTCTAGATTATGTTGTTGAGACATCCTGCTGCTCTATTTGCCATGTTCACTTGTTTTTGTACTTCTTTTTCCACTTTTCCTCAGCTTGACAGTTTTATTCCCAAGTATTCAGTTTTCATCACTTGTTTTATTATTTTGTTATTTACGACTAGTTTACATCGTCTCGGTTCCGCTGATATCACTATTGCTTTAGTTTTCTCTGTTGAGATCACCATGTTGTATATGAGCGCCGTATCTTCGGATTCTTTAATTAATCTTTGTAGGTCATCTTCATTTTCAGCTGTTATTGTGGCGTTGTCGGCGTAGCATATTATCCTTATTTCCTTTTCTCCCATTCTATATCCTCTTCTTTTTTTAACTTTCTTTATGATTTCATCCATTATCAAATTAAATATTAATGGGCTCAGCGAATCTCCTTGTCTAATGCCAGTTTCATATTTGATATGTTGCGATAGTTTTCCTTTACATCTTACCATAGCTATGTTATCTTTATATATATTCTCCATGGTTTTTACTAAATCCAGTGATATTCCCTTTTCATATAATAAATGTATCGCGTCCCGAATTCTCACTCTATCAAACGCTTTCTTCAAATCTATCAGACACATATATATGCTGGTTTGTTGTATTCCATGGACTTTTCTTTTATTTGTCTTATTACAAAAACTGCAACCGTGCATGATCTTCCTGTCCGAAATCCTTGCTATTCCTTTTGCAGAGATATTCGTTCGTTTATTTTTGTCGCTATTATTCTTGTTGTCAATTTAGGTGTTGTATTTAATAGATTTATTGCTCGATAATTATTGGGGTCTTTCTTATCTCCTTTTTTGAAGAACATCACCATGATCGCTCTTCTCCATTCATGTGGTATTGTGTTCGTGGTGATTATTTTATTAATAAGAAGTTGCAGTTGTTGTACAAGGTGATCACCTCCATATTTTAAGAGTTCATTTCGTATTTGATCTTCTCCTGGTGACTTTCTGTTTTTTAATTTGTTTATTCCTTCTTTCACATCGTTTTGGGTAATTTAGGTCTTTTCCTCAGTTATTATATTTGGCGTTTCTGGTAAAGGTTCTTCGTTTTGGTTTTTAAACATTTCTGTCAGGAAGGCTACCCATATATCCTCTTGTATGTGTTATATTTCAACTAGTTCTTTCATTTCGCTTCTTTGTTGTCTTATGAAGCGCCATACTTGTTTCTGTTGTCTATAGAAATCCATCCCTAGTCGTTTTATGAATCTTTCCCAGTAATCTGTTTTTTCTTTCTTACCAATGGATGAGTTTCACTTCTTATTCTGTTATACTCTTAATATGATTCATTCGTTTTTTCTGACTTATATTTTAGGAAAGCTTTCTTTTTTTGGTGACATTTTTGCTTAACCTCTAGTGTATGAAAACCATGGTGTTTTTGTTGACCACTTTTTGTTTATTATTTTCGTTCCAAGCGCTTCTCGAGAAGCATCCAGAATATTTTTCTTAAGTTTTTTCCAGCTAGTCTCTACATTATTTTCATTTTCAATATTCTCCATTTGTATTTTCTGTTCTAGCCTTTTTTGATATAATGATTTTATGGAGTCATCTCTTAAATTTTCTATTTTTATTATTTCCTCTGAATTGGTTTGTTTAAGTTTCTCTTTCCATCTTTCATTGAATCTAATTTTACCAAGTACCAAATAGTGATCGCTTCCCACATTGGGTGACGTCAAACTTCTCACATCCACTATCTGTTTATGGTGAATATTTCTGTTTGTGACCACATAATATATCATTGATCTATGTCCTCTTGTATTTTCAAACGTGTATTTGTATTGAATTTTATGATCAAAAATGTGTTTGCTCAGTTCGCTTGATGTGCAGAATTCCACCATTCTCTATCCGTTTTCATTGATACCTCTTTAGTTAAATCTTTGTTTTATTCCTGGTATTACTTCGTCTCCTATTCTGACATTGAAATCTCCTAATAATATAAGTAATTCATTTTGCTTCACTTCTCTTTCCACTAATGTTTGTAGCTCATCATAGAATTCTTCTTTATCGCCGTCAGTCTTCATCCCTATTATGTTAATAATTTTGCTGTTTGCGCTAATTTTTACTAAAAGTATTCTCTGAGATATGTACTGGCTCTCTTTAATTTGATCTTTATATTTTGTTTTGATCATTATTGCTACACCTTCCTTTGCTCTTTCTTGTTTCGGAACCCCACTATATATTAGTAAATATTCTCCAAGCCACGTCTGTCCTTTACCTCTCCTCTTTGTTTCCTGTTGGGCGCAGATATCTATTTGATATTCTCTCAACTCTTTTTCTATTTCCTGATCTCGGTTATTTAGGCTTTTTATGTTCCAAGTCGCCAGTCTCATTATATTTTTCGTTTTCCAGTTCGTCGTCCTTTTTTCCTTTGTACATCGTAAAAATAATGTTCAATTTCTTTTGAAAAGCGTTCCCAATGATCATTTTTTATTTTTCTTATAAGTGCGTGTGTTTAATTTCTAATTTTTTTGTAATTATTGTATGCCTCTTGTGTTTTGGTTGATATTTATTTCAGGTAAACTTTTTTTCCTTTCTTTACATTTTTCCTTCAGTTCTCTACAAAACCTTGGAGTTCTTCTCCTTAAGAACGATTAATTTTTATTTATATTTCTTTCACCAAGAACATCCTTGGCCGAGGCTAAGAAATTAGACTTAATTTTTGCCCAGCTTTTTTCGACTTCATCACTTTCTGTGATATGTGTTTCTGCTTTTTTCGGTTATTCTTTTTTTGAATAGGTATCTTGTGGAGTCATCCTGTAAGCGTCCGACTTTTATCTTTGTGGTATATTCTGGTGATTAGTTATCACATATATGTGTTCATTTGGATTTTGCACAATACCAATTTATGATCGCTTCCTATTTCTGCTGATGTTAATCCTCTTACATCCAAGATTTGAGAGGACGGTAACTCTCTATACAACAGAATATAATCTATCATAGATATTTGTCCTCTACTGTTTTCAAAAGTGTATTTGTATTGTTCTTTGTGAGGGAAAAATGTATTATTAACACGTATCTCGTTTATGCTGAATATGTCGGTCAGAAGGTCTCCGTTTCATTTTTAATATTTCCGTTATATCGCTGTTTAATTCCTGGAACTATATCATTGGAAATATGGGCATTAAAATCATCCATAATGATTATATATTCATCATTTGGGTCTCGTTTATTACAGTTTGAAGATGTTCGTAGAAGTTTTCCCTTGTGGTGGTATCTCTGTTGTTCTCTGGCGCATAGATTACTATCACATTCAGAAGTTTGACATCCAGTCTAATTTTCACAATTTTTGTTCTTTCAGACGTATATTAACATTCTTGTACTTAGTGTAAAAAAATTTTGTGTACTAACAGGTCGACTCCTTCTTTGGCTCTGGTTTCTTTCACAATACCACTGTAAATCATCAGATAATCATCTAGCATAATTTGACCTTTTCTTTTTTCTTCGTCTCTTGTAGTGCATAAAGGTATGTCTATATTTTTTTTCTACAAGCTCTTTTGTAATTTCCTGTTCTCTTGTGTTTAGAGACTTTACGTTCCAAGTACCGATGCGAAGTATATTTCTCGTTTTTAGATACTAGCTATATGTAAATATAGCTCTCTAAAAAATTAATGCCATACAAAAGTTCAGTAGGTATATTCAGGTTAAAAATAAATAGAGTTTTAGTATCCCAATATAACTTATTCCTTTTAAATGTTATAAAACTTCTAAAAGAAAATACGTGATGTACAAAAACCAAAAAATCGTCCAAATATATTGAACAATGTCTTTATTAACAACTGAAATGAATAACGCAAGCTTCATGCAGATTTGGGTCATGTTGTGTTATTCGTATTTACATGAATTAAAATATTAAAAATTACTTACTGCTTATATTCTTTTTCGAGAAATTTAAATTACATAAATTTAAAAGAATTACGCCGTTGAGGCAATTATATAAATTATTACAGTCAATTTAAATTATATGTAATACATTTAAAACTATTGCGCCATTAAGCAGGCAACCTATACAACAACCTCTGTTGTAAAACATTGGTTTTGGTTGATATGTTACGACGCATGTCAACATTGAAAAAATCAATATTTAAATTTGAAATACAATGGGTAGGTAAAACAAAAATGGTGTGACTTCCAAATAAATACTAGAAATATTTCGCGATAATTCAAAAGATGAAGCTAAACACTACAAGATACACGGTTATTTTAACCATTCAAACAATTCTTATACTTTTTGATTGGTGCATAAACATATTTTCGATGTTTAACAGGGGTAGTAATGCTAAAATGCTAGTTATGTTTATGTAAGTTCGAATAATATTTACAATATTAGATATTTTTCTTAATAATATTATTTTAGAGCTCAAGATGCCTGCCTAATTTTAGCATTATCAATATTGTTGTTAACGTTTTTCTCGACATATGTCTTCCAGGTAAGTAATTTATATAAATATATTAAAGTTTATAAAAACATTCCAAATTCTTTAAAAAAAATTAAAGTAAACATAACTAAATGAAAAAGTTAGAAGTCAAGATGGTTGTATGACACCTAGTTCTTATAAGACACTAAAGGATTACATTTAATTCATTTTCTTCTTTTACAATAGTTTTTGTTGGATCAGATTTATCTTAATTTTGGTATCTAGTTCGTTGATACCATTCTAGTAAACTTTAAATAGCCTCCCCTTCTGGGTTGTCATCTATCAGGGAATTGCTGATGATAAATTATTGTTTAGCACATTTTTATTATACTTTCCTAGCACAAATACCATATGAACCAGTTCCTGCTTTGAAACATTTATGTTCCATAGTACTAGTGGTACTAGTAATAAAGAAACAGGAACTATAAAAATAGTCTAATGTCAAACTTTTAAGCAATAGCCCAAGCTGTGGGGGAAAAAAGGTGATTTTACACTGTAATCCAGGAATTTATGTAATGTGGCCTAGGTCGAAGCCTTCGAAATGTGGGTATATAGAAGAATTCTACGCGTGTCCTGGACAGAACATAGAACCAACCTGTCAATTCTGGAAGAGCTTCATATAAAAGACAGGCTACTAAAAAAAGTAAACCAAGCATACCTAACTTACTTCGGCCACATAGCTAGAAGAACGGGCACCATGGAACTATTGGTAGTAGAAGGAAAGGTAGAAGGCCGAAGACCAAGAGGAAGATCTCCAATACGATGGGTAGACCAAATGAAGAGTTTGGTGGGAAAATCCCTACATGAAGCCGTCCATATGGCACAAGATCGCAGTCAATGGAGACAGCAGACTAACAATATTTAGGGTGTCACTACGCCCTGACAAGGGCTAAAGGATTGAGGAGGAGGCCTAGGTTATAAAGGGCAACCTCAGGGGCAATGCCCCAGTTTATTCAACAAAAAATGTTTGGTTATTGTTTATTTACGAGCGTTTATAGGTGTAAAATAAGTAGTTTTTGAGTTTTATTCATTTTTTGTCCAAAGTAAGTGTTGTAATGGGTAATTTCTGTATATATTATGAAAGTACTCAAAAAGACCTTCAATTTGAGCCGGTATACGTTCAATTTAATATATTTGTTATTGCAAAAATGACGAATAAAGGTCAAAATTAAAAAACGTAATATTTATTGCAAAATTGTTTTTATTTTATTTCAAATATATTACATTTAAGCCTATAAAATTACGAATCGAATGTGCCGTAGTATTCCTAGATCGCTTAATTTGTTGAAAATTAGAAAATTTTTTGTTGAATGAACTAGAAGATTGCTCCGGAGGTTGTCCTTTATAACCTAGGCCACATTACATAAATGCCTGGATTAGAGAGTACTTTACCCCCACAGCCTGGGCTACAAGTTTAGTGTCAGGGTACCCATGGCCTAGATATACCACAAAGTATATATTTATAAAGTATATATATTTATACTCTGGTTATGGCCAAGTAGTATAATGGTATAGCCAAATAGTAATAGTCCAGGCTGTGAGGCCGCTCCCGTTGGGAAAATGTTTCTGATTCGGTTTCTTCGCGGATTCCGATTCAAAAATGTCCCCTTTAAACAAATCTGAAGGGTGCCGGGCGAAATTTTTGGGCAGAAATTGTTTAAACAATTTTTTTAAACAAAGTCCAAAAATATTTTTTTTAATCTGGAAAACGTTTTTTAGGTTTTTTGGGCTATTTTAAACAAAAAAAAAGTCTCTTGTCATTTTTCTCTAAAGTTGATAGTTTTCGAGTTATAAGCGATTTAAAGTCTGAAAAACGCGAAAATACGCATTTTTGAGGCTTGAAAACACATATATGTAAATTATTATTTTTGAGGTTACCAAGTGTCTAAATTAAAGTTTAAACATTCAACTTCAAGATTGTGAAGAGTAATCGGGGCTTATTTTAATTTAGACCGTTGTTTTTTATTTGTAAAGTATGCGTGTACACTCGATTTTTGAGCCGCCGCGGCGCCGCGCGCTACCGTGCGCCTCTATCGTACTTATGCATAGTTTACATATACAGTCCTCTCTCTCTATAACGATATGCAAGGGACCAGGAATTTTCATCGTTATAAGGAGAGATCGTTATACAGAGAGAGACAAAATTCGGTACTGTGATATTAATAATACTGTCCTAAATAACCTATTTTAATTTAAAAAATGTATCAAAACGAATATAAATGAATTAACACTGTATTGTACACCACATAGATTTATTAAAGAAGACTGTAGAATTAAAACATGTGTACTGTACATTAACAAAATAATACACTACTGTAAAATATATTTAGCCTACATTACCAAAAAAGTCTGTGACCTTGGTCTTTTTCCTTTTCCCTTTCCACAGAACTGACCTGACCATGTCCTAAAGACACATAATCTTCCACAGCACTCATATCGTCTTCTTGGTGGATGAAGAATCGATGCAGTACTTTTGCCGCATTCAATGCCTGCTTTTTTTATCGTGTCCGGACATTCATGTCATTCATAAAATTTCGACCCATTATCGGTCTACGTCAGTTACATCTTTGTTGGCGAGCCATAAATTTCTTCATGTTTCTGCATGTCAGAAGATGTTCCATATTCTGTGCTTCTCCACAGTCACAGTTCACATTATCTTGGTCTATTTTCCCCCATTTTACCATGTTTGATTTTACTGGGCGACCCCCCCCTGTTCTTATCCTATTTATAGTTTTCCAAGTTTTAAAGTCTAGGGACTGGCCGGTCCATTGAACCTGGAGAAGAAAAATATACTCAGGCGATTTATCCTGCACTATTCCAAGGAATCTTTTCTTGGATTTTAGTTGCTGTCGTGGTGTTTGGGCCTAGTATAGGGCATGCCGCTCGTCCGCGATCTGTTTAATTTTCTCTATGTGCTCTGCAACGCCTCTGCATGTTAAGGGTTCTGCAAAACCCGCTACTTTATAGAAATTTGAGAGTGAGGTTGGTTTCCTGCTGAGGGCTCGGAGCTGGTTTTGGCTCTGCCTCCACTTCCGGGTCACTGTATTCTTCAAAATTTTCCGGTCCGTAGGTGGTAGTAAGTTCAAACTGTCTGGTCCAAACATCTAATGGCAGGTCATCTTCATCATCAGTCAATCCTTGATCTTCCAACCATCCTACGTGTTTGAAGGAATGTTTTATTGTATTGCTCGTCACCTCGTCCCAAGATTTACTAACCATTAGGATGGCGTCAAAAATGTTTTTTTTAAGACCGCCATTATTCTCAACCAATTCCATCAAAAGTCTTCTCGTGTAATGGCTTGTCAAACTCTTGATGACACTTTGGTCCATGGGCTGAAGGACACTCGTTGTGTTTGAAAGAAAACAAAGTTAAATGTTTTAAAGGTTGCACAGTACAGGATGAGCAGGACAATTGTCCACAAGCAGAAGAATGTTTTCCCTTTAAGCTCTTTATTATCCCACTTTATTATCGTTTCTTCAAAAATTTCCGCAGTCATCCACACACTCGTGTTTGCTTTATAGGTCACCCGTAGATTTTTTTATGTTTTTAAAGTAACGTGGGTTTGTGTGTGTGTTTAATGTCATTTTAGAAAAGAATCCAGTCTCATCAGCATTGAAAATGTCGTCTGACGCATATCGTGCCTTTAGTCCAGGCCACACTTTTTCTAGCCAATCATCCCTTACCATCGCGAGCTTCTCCGCTGATTTGCCTGTAGTTGTAGATCTTATGCCGCAGTTTCCACTGGCTCAGCCAACCCTCAGATGCCTTGAAATCCTTAATTCCAAGCTCAGTTGCAAAGAACTCAGCTTTTGTCCAGCTCAGAAAGTGATGGATTCATACGCTGCTGCTGAGATTTCCGCAACTTCTTCCTGCTATCGCCCTTCATCTTCGCTTCAAGCCACTTTTTTCTGTTCTTCCATATCGGAGCCACAGTTAACTGAGATAGCCCCGACATCCAATTGCTTGAGCTATCGATAACTTTTCCTGTACCGAGAGCACTTTAGGCTTTTTCGAAAACATATTGACTGACTAAGACACAACTCGCAAAAGTAAACAACCGCTGGGCAATGACCTTGCCACTCGTGACTGAGGTAGTCTGAACTTTAAATAAAATACCACATTTGTCATCGACTATTGAACGCTGAAAATCATCGCTATACAGAGAGAACGATATCGGTATAGAGAAAGAATTAATACATTGTTCTTATGACGGACCAAACAACGTTTACTATTTTCATCGTTATAGAGGAATTATCGTTATATAGAGAATCGTTATAAAGAGAAACTACTGTACTTACAAATAATTATTATTTATTGAGTATACATTTATTTATATCAATTGAGTTATAATATAAATTTCGTCTAAAGTCTAATAATAGTTACATAAAATAATTGTACAAAAGATTGTTAAATAACACACTAATATCACTCAGTAAAAGTATCTTTGTTTTCACAAAAATCTAAATCACATCCACATAATGGTACACAGTTGAAATGATTTTTCTTGCAGTTGCAAGCATTAGTTTTGCAAGTCTTTTTGCATTTGCACGGTTTCCCAACCCACCACTATCAGACATATAATATCCATATTGTGTAAAATCGGGAGTTTGATAGCGGGACTATATGGCATTTCGCCAAATATATGTTTTAGCGAAAGCTCTTAACAAGTGTTGGTAAAGTGCGTCAGAGGTACAAGGTATATTGGCTAGATTAAATTAAATTTTTCAGTCACACTGCCTTTCGTCGAAGAGCAGCATTTTGTATTGTTATGTAAAAATCTACTTTAGGTTTTTGCACTAACTTAATATTGTTGATGTTATTACAAAAAATACAAACTAAATTTTCTTCGGTAAGTTTTCATTTAAGAAGAGGTACGGAAAAAGACATTTTAAATCCATTCACAATTTTTTTAATAACACATTAATAATATAATACCCTTTTAATGGGCATTAAACAATAGTCTTCCTAATGATCGTTTAAGTAATAACAAATCAAGTATGAGCGCGCGATTGTTAAACAGGTAAAAACTTGCATTTTTGCGATAGTATATTGTTTTTAAACACCACGCAATTTAAAATTAAGTTTACTAATATTAATATTTACTGCATTGTATTATTTAAATAATAATTTAAAAACATTATTTACAATTGATATAAATAAATATATACTCAATAAATAATAATTATATTGTTCAAATTTGGAAGAAAAAAAAACTATATCGTCGTCGACACAAGAAAACCGGTTAATTCCAATTTTTACTTAGAATGAGATTTCACTGCCAACTTTTAGCAAATCGCCTATTCTAGCCATCCGACAAATAATACTTCATTTAAATGTAGATTTCTAATTTTAAAATGTTTACTAGAAAAGCAGGTATCTCCCTTGTCAAAAAATTATGTTTGTAAAACACGTAACTCCGCGCATTTTCTGTTAAGTCTGTTAAGTGATTATGGCATTTGATTTGTTGTTTTGGAGGGATTTGTTGTTTTGGAACATGCTTTTAATAAGTTCTAGACATAGACATGGACAAAAAAGAGAATGTATATCAAAACTTTGGTAGTATTTGAAGCACCAAAACGGAAGAGGGATAGAAAAAATGAAGATGTATCTATCACGGAGGTCTAAGACATTAAAATATTATTTGAAAATTGGAGAAGATGCAAAAATGGTATGCAAAAAAATGTTTTTGTCAACTCTGGGCCTTAAAGATTGGTTTGTTATGAATTGCAAACAAGATGATTCTGCTATTACAGAAAATTTGGATAATGAACCACAACAAGCGCATAAAGGACTTCACAAGAAGGAGTTGGACAATCGTTATAGTTTTTTAGATAGCCTGTCGAAAATGGAATCGCATTATTGCAGGAAATCAACTAGTAAATTATATCTAGAACTATTATGGCAAAGCAAATGTCAACTTTACCATAATTACAAAAAGGAATGGTACCCAGAAAAACGAATCAACAGTCTCCCTTTATCTTCTTTTAAAAACGCTTTCCTGGAAAAGAGGTTGGCTTTGTATAGAACAAAAAAAAAAATTTTGTGTGAAATATGTGTCTTTTTTAAAACAGGAAATCTTGATCAAGAAATATTTAGTGAACATTAGTTGAAAAAACAAGAAGAGAGACTTGAGAAAATTAAAGATAAAAACAGTGAAAGCATTGTATTGACAATAGATTTACAGGCAGTCCTTATATGTCCTAAGTCCAATGTTTCTTCCCTAAGTTGACATATAAATGATAAAAAAAGTTGACAATCCACAATTTCACATTCTATAACTTACACACAAAACAAGGGCATTGTTTTCTTTGGGATAAGTCGGAGGGGGATTTTACCAGTGCCGAAATTGCTAGTGTGATCGTATGTATTTTAGAAAAATATACTGAAGGAAGTTGTCTTGAGGAAAACGTACGTGAAATAATTATAGCGATGGGTGTACTTACCAAAATCGTAATGTTACTCTAGCTAATGCAATTTTAAACTTTTGTTTAAAGCAGAAGGTAACAGTTATACAAAAATACCTTGAGAAAAGGCACACCCAGATGGAGGCCGACATGATGCACAGTACAATTGAGAGACAATTAAGAGGATGCGATATTAATGTGCCTGGTGATTACATACAAATATGCAAAAGAGCGCGGAAGGAAAATCTATTTGTAGTAACTCGACTATACCATGATTTTCTTACGGACTTCAGAGCAGTAAACTATGTAAGCAGTGTCCGATCCGTAAAAAAGGGTGATGCAGTTGTGACAAATATTAGAGCTACAAAATATTCACCACAAGGTATTCATTACAAGTTGGGATTTGGTGAAAATTGGATTGAACTGCGTTGTCGAATAAATCAGAATGTGATACCCAAGAATTTCGCAGATCTGCCGAAGCTTTATACAAATAGAATACCATTAAAAAAAAGACAGATTCGAACATTTTCAGTATTTATAAAATACGCATGATTTCGATTACCACTCATTTTATGTCAATCTCCCTCACTAACTTTGTTTTTTGTTAAGTCCTATCGTTGTTGTACTACACTTGTTTTTGTACATATTTATGCGATTTTATTTTAGATTTATTTTAGATTAAAATTTTATTTATTGTTAAAAAGTAAGGCTATTTATTTCTAACGTAGGTAATAAAATAACACTAAATTTTATGTTAAGTTTTTCAAAAGTATTGGTCTGTATTTCATTATTAGGATATTTTTATGTGTTTCAGATATGTTTTTATAAATCGATAACTAATGCTTTTTATTAATTTTTTCCAATCCAGCGTTACAAAAAATGCCACGTAACTTCATAGGCACATCTCATTCCAAAAGAAGAAAAACCTGTAACTCCATATTTTCTGTATTTTTAGCTATATCTGCTAGATTTTGAAATTAAAATTGATAGAATTCAGCTTAATATGACCTAAAAACTCAAAATATAGTTGTTTAATCGCCCTTCTTTATCAAATAAAAGATATCAGTGAAAATGTTACTGTTTTTATACTCTCCTGAAAAATTAAGGAAAACGGAGTTACGAGTTTTTCTTGTGTTGACGACGATATACGGTTATTACATTGCGATGATTGATTTATTTAATTAGCCCAATGACAATAATTAATACCTACATAAATAAATTATGGAAAAAACTATGTTAATAAACTTCAAGGATTTGTTCGGGTTTTTTTGCGTAAGTGTATATGTAAACTATGCATAAGTACGATGGAAGCGCACTCTAGCGCGCCGCGCCGCGGCGGCTGAAAAATCGAGTGTACGCGCATATTTAACAATTAAAAAACAACGGTCTAAATTAAAATATGCCCCGATTACTCTTCACAATCTTGAAGTTGAATGTTTAAACTTCAATTTAGATACTTGGTAACCTCAAAAATAATAATTTACATATGTGTTTTCAAGCCTCAAAAATGCGTATTTTCGCGTTTTTCAGACTTTAAATCCCTTATAACTCGAAAACTATCAACTTTAGAGAAAAATGACAAGAAACCTTTTTTGTTTATAATGACCCAAATAACCTAAAAAAAACGTTTTCCAGATTAAAAAAAATTATTTTTGGACTTTGTTTAAAAAAATTGTTTAAACAATTTCTGCCCAAAAATTTCGCCCGGCACCCTTCAGATTTGTTTAAAGGGGACATTTTTGAACCGGAATCCGCGAAGAAACCGAATCAGAAATATTTTCCCAACGGGAGCGGCCTCACAGCCTGGACTATAAAGCAATTAGGCCTACCTTAAAATAACATTTTATTAAGTACAGTACTAAAATAAAGGGTGTTCCATTTAAGAATACTCGGAAAATAAATAGTTGTTTGCTTGATTTTTATAGTATATTACTTTAAATGTATTAAATAATGTGTAGAAAATATAATTAATATCAGATATTTATGAGAATGCTTTAAAATGTTTAGATACTTTTTGAGAACTAAATTATATTCCATTATTATTAATTTTAGACTGGACTCGTGTATTTACTTTATGAAAGATTTCGTGCTACTTTATTGGTTTGCATGATATACTTTATCCTTACTACCGTGGTTAATGTCTGGTTACTGATACAGCGATGGAGTAACGCAAGGCAATCTTGGAATAGCATATTTCTTCTCATTTTTATGGGTCAAAGATTTAGTAAGTATCTACTATATTTATTATAATGATATTGGTTTTATGATATTTACTACTATATAAATCACTTAAAACGAATCAAATTTTCTTTATTACGATCTCCTGAATATGCTGATCAAATTGGAGTATGTTGTTCATTTTTAAATAATCATAAATGCCATAACTGGAAATCATCGAGTAAAAAGACAAAAGAGGGAATCTAATCGTTATGAAAAGGAGACCATCGAGCAATAAGACAAAAGAGGGAATCTAATCCTTATGAAAAGGGGACCAAAAAAGTGGCCTCTGATGGCGGACATATCCGGAAATGCGAATGCGCCAAATTTAAATTTTCCGACACTTATCAACAGTAGCTATATAATATTTTTGAGAATGTGTCTTAGACGAGAAAGTTTTAATTAATTATTAATGATAAGAGTCTAAATGCGACACAATTGTTAAAAAACTTCAATATAAATAAGAGTTCATGTGACATTTGGGACAAACAATAACATAACCCAACTAGATTTGATGTCAAACAAGGAGAGAGACTCTCTTTCCTCATTTAATGTGGCCTCTAAAGATCGCACTTCCTGTCTAACAATATGTTTGCCCCCACTACCTTTACATTCCCTCTTTTGTCTTTTTGCTCAATGCTGGAAATACAGTACATTCAACCAACTTAAACAATCTAAACGATTAACGGAATTCACACACAACCTCTCGTTGTAGTAAAACGGCAAACTGCACTGGTGTTCTCTGTTTGACATTAATGTAAGATAGGCTTAACGTAAACCTGGTAACTATGTCAAATATGTCAATGTCAAGTCAACACCACTTCCCAACGGGGACAATGGGCGACATGATCATGTTGTAATGTATGAATATTATTAATATATGTTCAGCCAATACAGTAGTTTAATTGAGACCTTATTAACATACTTTAAACATGGCGCAGTCAATTTATGGAATCTACGTGTCCAAGGATAAAGTTAAGTGCTAAGTTTATTAAAAAGAAAAATTTAAGTGTTCCCAAAATGGCAAGCATGGTCAATGGAATAGGTTATGTTAAGTTACCCCAAGATTTCGAATTCCAGGGTCAGAGTGCCGCTTCTGAATGGAAATTTTGGAAAATTTCATTCGAAGATTATTTAGTAGCAACAGGACAACACGACGCTGTAGATCAGGTGATATTATCCATCCTGCGAAATATTATTGGCCATGAATCAGCACGGATTATGGCTACTTTTGTTATCCCTGATGAAGAACTAAATAAGTATGGTATAAAGCTGTTATTGTAGAAAAAGCTAAAGAACCCAGATCGTACTGGATAAGAAAGGAATGCAATAATAGGATAGTTAGAAGAAACACAAGACCATCACATACAAAATCAGATGTAGCAGACAGGTATCTTGAATCTGAGTTGTATCCACACACAAACCCAAATAGTTATAAGGATAATGATAATAATGATTTAAATAATGTATGTATTCAGGATAATGATTTAACAAATTTGTTTAATGAACATAGGAATACTGATATTGTAAGTCCTCATTATAGCTGCTCAAAAAATAATGATAGTAAGAAAGGTAATGTTTCAAAATTCGGACGTACAATTAAACCTAGGGTACGCCTTAATCTGTAAGGGGAAGGTGTTTGACATTAATGTAAGATAGGCTTAACGTAAACCTGGTAACTATGTCAAATATGTCAATGTCAAGTCAACACCACTTCCCAACGGGGACAATGGGCGACATGATCATGTTGTAATGTATGAATATTATTAATATAATATGTTCAGCCAATACAGTAGTTTAATTAAGACCTTATTAACATACTTTAAACATTCTCCATAATATTTAACACTTTGCTAAATTTTGGGTATAAAATAAATATATGTGTCATTAAACCGTTGTTCATAGTTGTTCCATTAATTTCAAGATGTCGTCTGTCATCCATTTATTTTTCTTAGGTTTTTTCTATAATCATTTTTTGCAGAAATTTCGTTAACTTGATTTTTAAATTTACTCCATAGTTCGTCTGAATCTTCTAGTTGTCCTCCGATGTTTTTTATTCTATTTATTAAATTCTTTTTTAATATTATGTTTTATGTTTATATCGTCAGTTAAGTTAAGTACATTGGTTTTTGTCGCTGAATTTGTTTTAACCTTATTTTTTTTGTTCAAGTTATGTTCCGCAATAACTTTTTTTCTGCTTGGCCGTTCTGTTTGTGCCAATAAATGTTTGATCTCTTTCTCTCTAAACTGAAGGTACAACATTCTTGTTTTCTTTCACTTGTTTCTATTTTTATTCAACAAGAAATTGTAGTCACGTATAATTACTGGCTTTAATTTTTTCTGTCCTGTACTATTTTCAGATTCAACCATTTCGAAACCATGCTTGGATGAAATCATTATTATATTTCTCTTATCTTTGCATTTTAATACTCTGATTAGACCCCTGCTTTGCCATACGACTTCTCCTTTCTTCAATTTTTTTTGTAATAACACTCTTTGGGTTACTTTTTCTATTTTTTCTTAATGTTCCACAAACATAATTTAAGTAAAAACTTAACAAGCTCATAACTGTTGTAATAATTGTAAATGTATATAGTGTGTCACTTCTTTAGATATTCAGTAACAAGCCTGTTAACTACTTCAAACTCAAACGCATGCCCATTTTCATTTACTTCTGTCCCCTTGCCGCTGTAGATTAGGAAATTTAGTAAAAATCCATCAGAGCTAGTAATCTCATAAATTTTTATTCCATATTTACTAAACTCGGTTTCACCGTTCTTGGCGTGTGCCTGAAATAAGCTACTACGGAATTTTTAATATTCGTCTCTCTCTAATACACAGATGCGTAATTCAATTGTGTGAGTCACGTTCGTCATGGTAAAGTGCGATGAGAAGGGAATGAAGAGACCACTCGCGTCTCCCAGTATTGTAGCAATAACACCGATGCGTTTGACCGATACGGTGTCGGTGATAAGTTCGGCCCCTTTAAGAATACAGATAGCTGCCACTGGAGGAGGTAAACGAATCGAGCTTAGACAAGGAAAGACAGATGAAACAACTTATTGCAAGTGTTTTTACACGCACACGCCAAGAAAGATGAAAATGTCTATAGTTTGTTTCGGCATATACTGTCGCAATATTAACCGCCCTCTTCATAGTAAAAGGTCTTCGTCAAGACTTAAATTCTCTCCTGGATAGTAAACTTTAGAGATATTATTTATAATAGGACTCGTAATGTTTTTAATTTTGTGAAGTCGATCTTGAACTTCTACGTCTTCCGGCTTGTAAAACCAAATATGTTGAAGAATAGCTTCAAACTTTGATCTGGGCATAGTTTTTCCAAATATTGAAAAGTGATATAGTGGATCTGTGATCCAGTATACACGTAAGAAGGGAAGTTTTAGGTTTTCCATTAATATGCAGAGACCCAAAAATTTTGTAAGACGTCAATATTTATATCTATCCAGCGTCTTAAAAAGGAATATTTTTTAAATTAGGGTTTTCTTTACGTGAAGCAGCTCTGTGGTTTGTCCACTCTACGATTTTTATCGAAAGCTCTTCATCCAATACTAATGAAAAATATTGTATAGGTGTTGCGTCAACAGGAATTTCTACTTTTCTATTTTCTAATTCAGTAATCTGATGTATCTCAATATCTTTCTCTACATCAAGCCAGTCCACCTCATCATTTTCTTGTACCACATTTTCATTTCCATCGTTCGCTTCGTCCTCATCATTACTCAACTCACTGCCATCATTGTTCGACTCACCTCCATCATTGCTAGTACCTTTAGTCTCTCTTCCAGAATGAGAAGAAGAATATTCACGTCCACTAGAATAAAATATTTCATCATTATGGTCCTCCTCCAATTCATATTCAATATTTTCGGTATCTCTGTACTCACTAACTCCCCTACTAGCCACCTCGGCCTCTGATCTCGTCTACTGAGATGTCGTTTTGACATCTAAGTACATTGATTTTGCTCGCGTAACTGACATTCAAAAACGGTAGCTCCGTTTAAAATTGTCTCGGCTACATTTTCTATTTGAAACATTTTTTTCTATGGCGTACAGATTCTTGACAAATCGATTTTTTTGTGTTTTTACCCCCTACGAGGGAGTTTTTAGAGGGAAGCCCGGGAGTAACTTTTTTGCATCTTTTTTGGCATCCAAAATTAATATTCTCGTCAAAATTCACCTTGTTCGTATGATTTTTAGGGGTAAACCCTCCGACGACTTGACTCACCTACGTGCGTTTTTTTTCACTTCTTACCAAAAAACTTTACCAGCACCCAATCATCATCTTTAAGATTACTTGGATCCTTAAACGTGGTTTGTATATCCCTTTGATATCTACTTCTTTATTCACAAACTGTTCAAAAGTATCATCATCACTTGAAGATTCATTGAAATCTTCACCTTCTGGCGAGTCTGATGTAATTTTACCAGAAACTTTGGGTCTGTCATATTTTTTATGTTGTTTTTTTCTTTTCTTTATCTTGTTTCCTTTTCGTTTTCTTTGTTGTTTCTCTTGATACACTTCTTTTGATGTGATGACTTCTAACCCAGCATAAATTCTAATTTTCTTTTTGGAATTGGTGCTATGACTCTTGACTTTTTTAATAATAATTCGTCAAAACAAACTAGGGGCGTAGTTTTTGATCCCAATACTTCATAACACACAGGTCTAGTGGTTGAATGAGATGGCTGGAATGTGCTGGTAATTTCAGGATAGTAATATTTTTTGCTTTAGCTAGTTCAATAACCTTTAAACTTTCATTGAAGTTAATTTATTAATTTCAAAGAATTAAACTAGTTAAGTAGTATTTATGTAGTATGGAATCTGCAAATTGAATCAAAAAGTTTAATTCAATTATGTAAACTTAAAGTGTGATATATTTGGCTTGGCTTATGTTACTATTGTCAGATATCATAAATAAGTGTATATAACACAGGATGTTTAAGTATATAACGTATATAACACATTTTCAAAAACTGTCAACACTTTTTGCCACGAGGTGGTGTGATTACAATATTTTTAACTGTGACCTGACATACCTCCTTTTTCCCTGTGTCCTTCAATTATTTTAACTAACATTCAATAAATTAAATTATTTTTACAGATATAATTTTGAATATTTTCAGTGTCAGCGATCTATTATTACTACTACAAGAGGGCTGCGTTAAGAATAAGTGATCCCAGATTTTATGAAGATATGGATCTAGAAGAGAAAAGTATTAATTCTGTACATAACTAATACATATTTTTATGCTCAAGGATAATTTAAAAATATTTAAGTCTATGCTAAGTATATTGCTTTAATCTTGTACTACTTAATATAGACCTGTAATTTTTCTTATATGTGATAAATTAAAATATAGTTTTAACGTCGAATCAAAATTGTTAATCTTTAAAATGATATGTTCATTTGATTTATAAAATAAATATATATCTCACAAAAAAATATCAAAGATTCTACCTATATTTGGAGTTATATATCTATATATCCTTTATATACAATCTTAGCCACTCAAAAGAGTTATCCCTGATAATTGGCGATTTTATTTAGCGATGAAGATATCTGTCATTATTCAACCCCCTTCCTTCCTCATCACAAATATTTAATTAACCCTTTTCCGGGCAAGGTGGGTCCAACGGGCCCGAAACGACAATTTCTTCATCATAAACTGACAAAAAAAAAATTTTATGGAATTTTATGCATCACTGAATTTGTTTAGAACTATGTTAGTCAAGTAATATTTTTGTGGATAATCTAAACGACTTTATGATTCCGCAAATCCAATAATAAAGTCTAAACGTGTACCAAACAATGTAAACATCTCTTTAATGTGAACATCAAAGAGATGCTTACAATAGGTGTTATATCTATTTTAAATGAATTTTAAAAACTGATAATCATTGATGAAATGCAATAATATTGTTAGGTATAACTCAACAGATATAGTTGCAACGTTTAAGGTCACTTCATTGATAAAAGGAGGACCAATAGTCAGTTATATGCAAGCGCCCGAACCGTAAACATCCGTAAACTTAACATTAAACATAAATTTTAGCGCGTTTGCTACGTTGTCAGATAACTTCGTAATTCGTGAAATAGTTATTGTTTGTTGAATTTTTATATTGAAAACTAAGAGGTTCTAAGAGAATCTATTTTTATAAGCTTATTTCCACAACCGTTGGAAACCATTTATTTTAACTAAATATCGCAATTCTCGATATGAAACAAATTTAGCTTTTTAATTTAATAGAAGTCCATTCATTCAGTTCATTTGAATGATTATGACTAATAACTTCAGGAAATAACATTTTATCAATTACCTCAAACATTTTAACTTTGATATTAGTGTTCTGATAATAAATATAATTATAAATTCATTACAGTAATTGTAGTATCAAAGAATATAGACGCTAAGCGTCTATATTCTTTGGTAGTATTAATATTACAGTTCAATACCTCTAAAATAATATTCGATTTGGCAACACCGCATCAACCAACGTCTGTCGTGTCTGGTCGTGTCAAATCGTCATTGTTGTAGTTAAATCTGTTTAAATATTTTGATTTGAAATAAATAATGCATCTGCTATCAGTCGTTTGCAGTTTGCAGAACTGTGCAATTTTTAATTTATATGAAACAATAACGAGTAAATATTTGTCTCTTTCGAGATTAATTGCAACACAGCCACCTTTACTTCCAAGCCATGAAGTAAAAAAGGCAACACCGCATTCTATGACGTCGGTAGTCCGATAATCAACTGTAAGGTCTACCAGAAATTTTGAACTAATTTGAATTTTAGGAAACTGATATTTTGAAAACTTCAATTCATTACAGAAATATTTTTAGGGAAATTAAATTAATAAAACCTTATATATACCTAGTAAATAAATATAAAGTTTTATTATTATTTAGGTTATATTATCAATAAAATAATCACTAGAGTAAAATTTATTGCACTTAAAATACATGTCAAACAGTTAATCTACAATCAAATGCAGTCAAGAATCTCTAGAAATTTTAAATATTAAGTACTTGATCATATAAATAACACAATATTGTTGTTAAGTTGTTAAGTAAAAACTTGGTGTAACTATTATGATTAAAAAAATTCATCCTAAGAAATCAGACACAATATGTTCTAAAATAATCTAATTGAAAATTAAATATTTTACTATTTACTTATATCTTTTGTTGAATTTTCATACTTAGGTATACAAAAGTAGCAATTTTAAATATGAATAGGTTTTTTGTCATATATGTAGATCAAGTTAAAAGAGGTATACATGAAAAATGTGTTGAATGTAACATACCATTAACTTGTATATCGATTTAAAATAGCCTTTAAAATAGCTCAAAAGATTTTTGAATGTAATACTCAAATTTGTTATCACTTATCTAAAAAGCAGATCTAAATGAGAAAGTAAGTTCTCTAATTGTGACCATCTTGTTAATTTACTATATTGTAAAATCCATTTGAAATCATTACTACTTAATCTATTCTTACCTACATTGACGATTACACTAAAATTACTGCTAACTATTACACTACGTATTACACAAATATTATCACACTTGTGTCCCAACTGATTAATACATAGAAATATACACAGTTACTTGTAATTTTACTTGTCCAGTTTTTTCAATGGGATATTATTGTCTAAGTCTAATTGTCATAATTATGTTATCTCTTGTTCCCTCTTCTTATGCAAAAAGTTTCTTCTGTCTTCGGGATTCCTTCTTTCTTTAGTACGATGAACAGTTACATATGATTGTACTTCAGGAAATATATTAGGAACTGCATTGCCTTTTAATTTGGGAAATATTAACTTTTCAATGTATACATTTCCATCTTTATCTTCTCATTGTTCAGTCTGCTGAATATCATCTTCATGAAAATGTTCGGCACATACTAAGGAAGATTTGGTAATTGTATAGCCTTCTCTATGAATAGAGCATAACCCAGTATACCTTCTTTGGGGATCTTTGGAAAACAAAAACACAGTATTATACTGTGACAAAAACGTACTTTCTGCCTGTTTCGTTTTTAAAGTACTGGCATAATTGGGATTTGCTACCAGGTACACAACAATGCCAGGGCATCTGTAACAAAAAACAAAAGTATTATTATTGTTGTTTTTAGTTTACATATTTTGTAACAAGAAGCAAAAGTATTATTATTTTCAGTTTGTTTTCTAGGTTATATTTATACTTGCCTTTTAAATTGTCGTTAAGAATATTCTATAAGTTCTAAATTTAATGAAATTTCACTTCTATTAATATTTTCTAATTGATTTAAACACAATTTACAAATAAAACATTCGAATAAAGTTAAAAAAACACTAAATTCAACAAACTTTACAATCCTTCCTATATACAAAACAAACCACGGTCGGACTACCACGCGTTGTTGCCAAATTTCTACTTCATGGCTTGGAAGTAAAGGTGGCTGTGATTGCAAACATATGTTGCAATCTGGCAACTGCAGATTTGACGATTGCCAAATCTATTCCCTAATATATCAAAGGGTAATTGCCAAAAAAAATTTTAATCACTAGCTGCAATTAATTTCCAAAGAAACAAATACTTACTCATTCTTGTTTCATACAAATCAAAAATTGCAGAATTTATAACATAATATAAACAAAATTTACTTTTCTAAAGCTTTATCTTTTTATATTTGAGGCATACAGCATCTACATTATAAAAATATGCCAACACTGCTATACCAAAATTTTTGTTCCATGTTTTGACAATGACATTTACGGCTATAATCAGCTTGTTCGGTAAACTTAACCACAAAAATATATCGATTGACAACCAAAAAATATCTGTTTACAAAAAAAATATCTGTTCGAAAACAGTGACTGACACTATTTTTTGATGAAAATTCCTATTCACAAATCACGAATGGTCTGTAGTATTTTATTTTTTATTTCTATTCCTTTTTTCTAATATCACAGAATACACCAACCCAATGGTGGGTTGGTGTATTCACACTCCAAATGTGAAAAACGTCCATAAAAAAAATCAAGTGTAAAGAAATGGAAGTAAAACAAGAAATTAGCGAGGAAACTAGTAAAGTAGAAGAGTATAATGACTTGGAATATGCTGTTTCGGATGGCTTTAAATGTGAAATTCAGGAGGAATACAATAAGCAAAGTACTGATGTCAAATATGATTCCTTAGACTTAGAGAAATGTCTCATAAATACTGAAATAGAGCAACATGGAAATAAACATAACCCATTTGAAGAAATCCAAAAAATTGAAAAAGGTTAGTGACAAATATTTACGTCCTATATTTAGAAATAGTATAAATAGGAATAACTTTTTATCAACTAATATAATTTTGATCCTAAATAAATTAAATTTACAGATAACACACTCTAATCTTGTTCAGTAAGTAATCTGGAGTGAAGTATCAATACCTACTGCCTCCACAACCCTTTTTGTGTCTTGGCCTGTTCCAGCATTTCTCTCCATTCTGATCTGATTCCTGCTTCTTTTTAAGCTTATATCCTTTTCGAATTGTTTTATGTATCTTAGCCTTGGTTTTCCTTTTTCCTACTGGCACTTGTTTGCTTAGTGTCTACTTCTTCCATTCTCTCTACATGTCTCATCCAGCGAAGCTGTCATATTTTAATGAATGTTACAATATCCCTATCCTTGTATATTTTGTAAAGCTCAAAGTTGATCAAATTCCATTTTCTTTTGTACCTTTGTATATGTGTCACAAGATTTTTCTTTCAAAGATGGATAATAATCTTTCTTCATTTTTAGAGAGTGTCTAGGTTTCTAAACCATATGTGTTTTACCTTCTTAATGTTTTATTACCCTATTGTTAAATTTTGCAGCTGCTTTATTTCTTCATTTTTACTTGCATACTTATATTTTGCATGCATTTTGGCCGGATTGATTTTAAATTCCAAGATTTTGTCTAGATCATTCTATTTGATTGAATGCCTCTATCATTTCTCTTCTTGACTTTACGATTATGTCAACATCATTCGCAAACGCTGGTATTTGCACACTTTTATTAATTATTGTTCTTGGAGTCTTGACTATTGCATCACATATTCTTTTTTGGGCATGATGTTGAACAAGATACATGGTAGGATGTCTTCCCTTTTTCACATCTATTCTAGTCCCTTGAATCTAATTGTATGATTCTAAGATACAGCACTATAAAGATGGGAAAATATCATTAAAATTAAAATATACAGTAGTCTCTCTTTATAATGATTCCCTATATAAGGATATTTCCTCTATAACGATGAAAATAGTAAACTTTGGTTGATTCATCATAAGGACTGTGTATTAATTCTTTCTCTATACCGATATCGTTCTCTCTTTATAGTGATGACTTTTCAGCGTTCAATCTTCTTCTTTAAGTTCCATCTTCTATCGAAGGTTGAAAATCATCATGGCTATGCGGACTCTATTGACTGCCGCTCTAAAAAGTTCTGCACTACTGCATTCAAACCATTCCCTTAAGTTCTTAAGCCAGGATATTCTTTGTCTTCCCACAATTCGCTTTCCTCGGATTTTACCTGCATAATAAGTTGTAATAATGCGTATTTTTTGCCCTCTCATCACATGTCCCAAGTACTCAAGTTTTCGTCTTTTAATAGTTAATATTATTTCCGCCTCATTTCCTATCCTTCTAGTTACTTCCATGTTTGACATTCTTTGAATCCATGATATTCATAGGATTCTTCTGTAACACCAAAATTCAAAGGCGGCCAACTTATTCAGATGAACTTGTTTTAGTGTCCAAGCTTCCAGACCATAAAGAAGAGTAGAGAACACGTAACATCGAAGCATTCTCAGGCGTAGTTCTAACCTTATATCCTGACAACAAAGAAACTTTTTAAGTTTAATAAATGATGTACTGTCACCTGATGTACTGATGATGATAATATTTTAGAACTGTCACTTTTAAAAACAATGTACTCTGCCTTAGTAAAATCAAGATTATGCCATGGCTTTCTTATGTGGGGTGGGGCATATGTCAATCATTTAGAACAACTGAATGTTGTTCAAAGAAAAATTTTAAAATCAATTGCTAGTATTTTTGATATTAGGCAGTTTTATTTTAAAGCTGTTACTTTACACCAATATAAAAATAAAGATACACTACAGTTTCACACATGAATACTCCTCCAGTAACAGAAATAAAGCAATACCCCCGGGAAGTAAAAAACAATTGGACAGCGCTGTTTCACTTACCTAGATCCTAGGGCATTTAATGTTTTACCAACTGATATTCAGAGTGTCAGGCATGTGAAACAGCTTAAAGTTAAGTTAAAGAAATATATTACAGATATGCCCCTTACAGTTTTCCATGATTTAACTGACATTAAGAATCAAATAAGTGTTTGGATATTAGACTCATAATTGTAATTGTTTTTTATTTTATTTGTTGCTGTTATTTTTGAGTAAACACGTCGTAGGGAAGGCGAATCAGTGAATATTCTACTCGACCTTTTTAACTGCATCTACAAAAGAGGAGAAATACCAAAGGAATGGCTACTTTCAACTTTTGTAACCTTACCAAAAAAGGCAAATGCAAAACAGTGCACTGACTACCGCACTATAAGCTTAATGGGGCATACATTAAAAGTATTCATCAAAGTAATCCACTCAAGAATTAACAGAAAACTAGATGCAGATATTAGTAATACTCAATTTGGATTTCGGAACGGGCTTGGAACAAGAGAAGCACTATTTGCACTTAACGTCATATGCCAAAGATGTCTAGATATAAACCAAGATATATATATATATATATATATATATATATATATATATATGTGCTTTATTGATTACAACAAAGCGTTTGATAAAGTTCGTCACGACCACTTAATGAAACTGCTAGTAGAAAAAAACTTGGATAAAAGGGACATTAGAATTATCTCTAAGATTTACTATAACCAGAAAGCAAATATCCGAATAGAGCAAGAGACAACGGAAGAAATCGAGATCAAGAAAGGCGTAAGACAGGGTTGTATACTCTCACCGACCTTATTCAATCTATACTCCGAAGACATTATAAACACAGCACTTTCGGATCAAAATATAGGTATTAAGATAAATGGCATCCGAATAAACAACTTGAGATATGCCGATGACACGGTACTGATCGCAGAAACTTGGGAAGATCTTCAAATACTAATTAACAAAATAGTAGAATGCAGTGAAGAACACGGATTATCACTTAACATAAGCAAAACAAAAATAATGCTAATATCTAAATCACCACAAAACTTCCCTGACATAACCGTGCATGATCAAAGAATCGAACGTGTAAGAAGATATAATTACCTGGGAACTGTTATCAACGAAAATAATGACTGCTCTGAAGAAATCAGAACCAGAATAGAGAAAGCTAGAGCCACATTTACTAAATTGAAAAAGGTGTTCTGCGGAAGAGATCTAAGTCTAAAACTTAAAATTCGCCTTTTGAGATGTTACGTTATGTCAGTTCTCCTCTACGGGATGGAAACATGGACATTGAAAAAGATCGATACCAAAAAGATAGAAGCATTTGAGTTGTGGATGTATCGTAGAATATTAAAAATACCCTGGACAGGAAAGTAACAAATGTGGAGGTTTTGCGGAGAGTGCGGAAAGAGAAAGTGCTGATACTTACTGTTAAAAAGCGCAAACTACAATATTTGGGACATGTTATGAGGGGAGATAAATACCAGTTGCTGCAATTGATTATACAGGGAAAGATAATGGGAAAGAGATCTATAGGAAGAAGAAGGCATTCATGGTTGAAAAACTTGAGAGAATGGTACAATTGCACCAATTACCAACTGTTTAGATCTGCAGCATCAAAAATACGCATAGCTTTGATGATAGCCAAACTTCGGAACGAAGACGGCACTTGAAGAAGGGATAATGCATTTCTCTTGTAGTTGCAGTATTTTTTTTTATTAATGAAATAGCAATGTAATTTTTTGTGTTGTGTTCTCTTATTATTAAGTAATAAATATTGCTTTCGATTGTAAAAAGACAGTGTATATTCAGAATATTTTTACATTATAATAAATTCGTTTAACCACTGCCCAAGCATTCTGCTTCAAGTTATTCGCAGATAATATTTTCTTTATGAGAGGTCTCTATGTTGATGGTAAACGGATGCTGTCATCTCTTTTATTAAGAAAATTTGGCCTTTTTCCATTGCCATGGTTTCTCGTATAATTCTTGGTTTATAGAAGCGAATGGGGCTATAGTTCTGTAGTTTTCAAAACCAACTTTGTGACCTGTACGAAGATGGTGTTGACCTAGAGCTGAAATTGAATTCGAATTGTGAACGGATATGGACTGTTAATAAATGCTATTTTGGATTCTACCATTTTTTTGGCCTACATGTTGAATACATACATGTGCTTCTGTTTCTGTCATTGTCATTTGCACTAGTCTTATTAATTTTGATGGTATGCCAAATTCTTGTAATATATTAGGTAGTATTGTTCTATCTATTGAATCATAGGCTTGCTTGAAATCTACAAAGAGATTGTAGACGTCTATGTCATATTCCCATGCTTTGGCTAGTATTTGTTTAACTGTAAATAGTTGGTCAATAGTAGATCTATTTTGCCTGAACCCTGCTTGATATTCCCCGATAATTTTTTCAGTGAGGGGTTGAAGTCTTCGATTAAGAATGTTTGTGAGTATTTTGCATCCCGAACAAAGTAAAGAGATGCCTCTATAATTCTGGCATAACAGTTTGTCTCCTTTATTATGAATAGGGCAGATTATACTTTTCTTCCATTGTTGTGGGATTTTTTCTTCTCTCCATATTTCTTGTATAAGCTGGTACATCTGTTCTGTCAAATTTGTTCCTCTCTGCTTGAACAGTTCTGCCGGTATCTTATCTATTCCCGGCGCTTTATGGCTTTTTTGCATTTGGATTGCTGTTCGAACCTCCTCTAGCGTTGGAGGTCTAGCCAATTCATTATCTTCTCCATCTTCCCACAGCTCCTGTTGTTGACCTTCCTGTTCTACCTGCTGCTGCCGCTGTTGTAGTGGTGTTTGTGCCCTTTCGTTTAATAATTCCTTAAAATACATCATCCAGGTTCTCTTAATTTCGTCCATATCGCTAATTATTTACCCATTCTTATTTTTGCATAGGCTAGTCTTCGGTTTGTAACCCTGTCTTAAATGTTTGATAAATTGGTATGCACTGCGTGTTTCGTTTTCCTTGAACGCCCTCTCTATGTTTAGTATCCGGTTGTTTTCGTACCGTCTCTTTTTCTGTCTGCATAGTTTATCAGCTCTTCGTCTTTTATTCTCAAATTCTGTCCTTCTCTCTCTAGTTCGTCTGAGTATGAAATTCTTATGTGCTTCATTTCTTTCGTGAATAGCTTGTTTGCATTCTTCATCGAACCACTGTTCTTCTCTCCGTTGAGTGTTTGTTCCAAGAACTTCTTGTGCCGTGTTTAGTATGATAGTGCTTATGGTGTTCCAATGATTTTCTATGGTGAATTCTTCTATGTTTTCTTCTAGTAATTTTTCACTCACTGTTCTCTCAAATCTTTCTTGTACCTCAGAGACTTTTAGGTTATCTAAGTTTAGTTTTTCTTGTTTCGGATATTTTTCCTTTGCTTGTCTACTGATTTTACATCTGAACCGTATCTGTACTAGTAGATGGTGGGAGTCACAGCTTGCTCCACGCCTACTTTTTACATCTAATATACTTGTGGCCATTCTTCTTTCAACCAGTACGTGGTCTATTAGATTGACTGTGTTTCCGTCATATGATATCCAAGTGCCCTTATGTATGTCCCGATGTGGGAAGCAGGTCGAACTGATAACCATATTCTTTCCAGCTGCGAAGTCTATTAGAAACTGACCATTCTCCATGACCATGAAAGTTTTTGTTGGGGTGTAAATATTGTCTTTATTCTTATTGATTTAAGGATTTTGTCACTGTTACCTTTAACGTAAGGAAGAAAAGCTTTTGTTTGATGAGGTTCTGCGTCTTTGGGTTGAGATTGATGTCTGTGGATGTCCATATTACTGTGATTTTCGCGGTAACCGTCTACTTACATCATAGCAAAGACATCTGTAGACAAGAGTATTAATGACTGAAATAATTTATGAAGGTGGATGATGAAAGTTGGTATGCAAGTAACAATTAATATGCATGAGTTTTCGATAAAAAGTGATAAAAACCGTGGGATTGGTTTTTCTTGGACATAACGTCGAGAAACGGTAGGGATGAATCAGTTTCTACCTCCATGGTGAACTGGATTCTAAGATGTATACCATTCAGAGGAGCCTGAAAAAGTACTACAGCATTCCTGTCATGAGGCCAAATGACGAATGTATCGTCAACATATCGTAGCCAACATATAGGTTTGAGCATTGATGTGGATAGTGCTCGGGTCTCGGAAGTCTTCCATAAAGATATTGACAATTACTGGAGATAGCTGAGAGCCCATTGGCGCACCATTTATTTTTCTGTAGAATTGATTTTGGAAGATGAAATATGTGTTGGACATACAATGTTTAATGAGGTATAAGTGGTCTTGCTGGATACTGTACTTAGTTTCCAGAATATTTAGAGTTTCATCTATAGGAATGTTTGTAAAAAGTGAAACGATATATAAACTTAGTAGAATGTCTGATGGTGAGATAGGGTATTGTTAAAGAAGTTCTATAAAATGAAAAGAATTTTTGACGAAGGATGAAGCATTTTCGGCGAGAGGTTGTAGAGTTTTGGCCAATGGTTGTGTAGGGCAGTTGTATGCACTGAAAATGGTATGTAGAAGAATATCGGGTTTGTGAACTTTGCGTAGGCCATATAATCGAGGGGTTTTAGAGGACTTTTCACGAGGAATTAGAGATTGTTTTGTCTAGTTGATCTGTTGTTTGTTTCTGTTTGTCCCTCCTATTGCACTGAAGTTTCTTGTATTTTATTAACCTTCAATTTGATTATGACATTTCGTTGTTTTAACATTCATTATCACTCTTGTGTTCATATGTTTATGTATATTAAAGTCTCTTTGATTTTTAGATTATTTCCAAAAGAACAAGATGGAAATTATGGAGACAATAACGGAACATTCATCTTACGAAGAAAATTATATGGACCCACATGCTGAAGGAAAGACATTAAGTAAAAATATGAAAATTGTGACTGGAAAAAGACCTTACAAATGTGAAATTTGTTTTAAGCAGTATGCTCGAAAACCTTATTTAACCAAACACGTGAAAGGTCACAAGGAAGAAAAATATCACAAGTGTGAAATTTGTTTTAAGCCGTTTCGTACAGCAAGTAATTTGAAAGCACATTTGAGAGTCCACACTGGAGAAAAACCTTATAAGTGTGAAATTTGTTTTAAGCAGTTTAACCAAGCAAGTAATTTGAAAGTACATTTAAGTGTTCACGCTGAAGAAAAACCTCACACATGTAAAATTTGTTTTAAGCAATTTACTACAGCAGCTTATTTAAATATACATATGAGGTTGCACACTGGAGAAAAACTTTATCAGTGTGAGATTTGTTTAAAACAGTTTACTCAAAAATCTAATTTTACTGATCATATGAAAGTTCACACCGGAGAAAAACCTCACAAATGTGAAATTTGTATTAAACGGTTTCGTACAGCAGGTAATTTGATAGAACATTTAAAGGTGCACACTAAAGAAAAACCTCATAAATGTGAAATTTGTTTTAAGCAATTTACTACAGCAGCTTGTTTGAAAATACATTTAAGAGTGCACACTGGAGAAAAACCTTATCAGTGTAAAATTTGTTTAAAACAGTTCGCTCGAAACAGTACTTTTACTGTTCACATGAAAATTCACACTGGAGAAAAACCTCACAAATGTGAGATTTGTTTTAAGCAATTTACTACATCAACTTGTTTAAAAATACATTTGAGGGTGCACACTGGAGAAAAACCTTACCAGTGTCAAATCTGTTTTAAAGCAGTTTAGTGAAGCAGGTACTTTAAAAATACATTTGAGGGTTCACACTAGAGAAAAACCTTATCAGTGTGAGATTTGTTTAAAACAGTTTGCTCACAAAGGTCATTTCACTGATCACATTAAAGTTCACACCGGAGTAAATACAAGTGTGAAACTGGTTTAAAGCAGTTTACTGCAACAGATATTTAAGAACGCGCACTGGAGAAAACCTTACTAATATGAAATTGGTTTTAAGCAGTTTAACCAAGCAATTATTTTGAAAAGACATTTAAGGGTGCAGTGGCGGCCGGTCAGGGTCGGCAGTGCCGACCCACATGTTTATAGATATTATACATTTTTTTAGTATTTAATTTAATCAGTATTTCAATAAATAATTGTGGCAGATAATCAGTTGATGCCATTTGTTTTTGTGAAACAAAAAAAATATCTGTGAGATAGTAAAGACTAAATTTTATTCATGGTTTTTAAAAGAATTCGACCAGACTAAATTTTATTCATGGTTTTTAAAAGAATTTGTCCAATCTGAGCGTTAAGTGATCCCCGCGTAGACACTTTTCAAATAGATGATTCGATATCGGAGACCCCTATCCGCCTATGAGTTCTTAAAAAGGCACGTTTTGTTTTTTCGCCTAGCCGATCCCAACCTTGACTTTACTTGTAAAAATCAACGGAATATTGGTTGATTAGCAACCAAATATACATTTCTTTCCATATGAACTTAATTACCAAATACGGCAAATTTAAATTTGCTGATGTTTCATTTGGATTAGTGATTGGTCGCGAACTGTACATTGCAAGCGTGGGACGAAATATTATTTCATATGTAGAAAAGTAAAGTAATATTCAGTGCACGAACTAGCCTTTCTTTTTGTGATTCATTTTTATTTTCTAAAGTAATACTGTGATACGTTACGTCTGCCGTAAATAGTTAAAGGTTAAAGGGTTTTTTGACATATTAGAAGTTTTTTTGAATTAAAGTGTACACAAATTCAGGTAAATTAACCTAAAAAATGCAAGCCATGGGAGAAACTGTAAGTATTGATAAGTCTGATATTGTAAATTATATTTTGCATAATGGGTTTTCGTCTATTCCATACGAAGAACAAATTGTTATTAAAAATAAGGGGCGTCCTTTGCCTAAAATGTCCTGGCTTATAAATATTAGTGCGGGTAAGGGAAGTAATAGATCATTTTCAGATAATTGGTACAGCAAGTACTCATGGCTTACCGGGAGTGAAATAAAAAACAAACTTTTCTGTTGGCCTTGCATTTTATTTTCCACAAATAGGGGCAAACATCAAAATCCGTGGTGTGAATTTGTTTACGATAATTTAAAGGAATTATTTAGGGCTTTACATAAACATGATATTTCGAAAGATCATACTTACAGCCAGATTAAATTAGATTTATTTGGAAAACAAAATATCTATGTTTCATTAGATAATGCCCAACGTGAAAATGCTATTAAACATAACGAAATTGTAAAAAAAATTACGCAGTTTTACGTCGTTTAATTGATATTGTAATTTTTTTAAGTTGTCAAGAATTAGTTTTTAGGGGACACGATGAATCGGAGCATTCGTTAAATCAAGGTAATTATAGAGAACTAATAAAAATATTTAAAAAATACGATTTGGAATTTTCTAATTTACTTTCTGATTCGAAGACATTTTGAGTAACGTTATTGAATCTGAGATTCAGGAAACCATTTGCTTTTCACTAGAAGTAGATGAAACTACTGACATATCATGTCATTCACAATTATCAATTGTTGTTCGATACGCGTTACGTGGTAATATCTATGAGAGGTTTTTAGGTTTTACAGACGTGAGTAAAAGCCATAAGGTAGAACATGTTTTTGGTGTTTTAAAGGACAGTTTAAAAATTTTTGATATCAAAAATAAATTGATAGGGCAAACTTATGACGGCGCTGCCGTGATGTCTGGTGAATTAAATGGTCTCCAGGCAAAAGTTAAAACTATTGCACCGCAAGCTTTATTTACTCCTTGTCATGAATTTAGTTTTGCAAGATACATGTAAAAAAAATTAAAGAATGTCGTCTTTTTTTTTGCCAGTTTAAGCGGATTTGCGTCATTTTTCTCAGGCTGTCCTAAACGGACTAATGTTTTAGAACGGTTTGTTTCCAAAAAAATGCCAACAGTTTGTCACACGCGATGGAATTTTAAATCTCGGTTAATTTTCACTGTAGCAGATTTTCGTGAACAGCTTTTGGAAGTTTTTGATTTTATTATTGAATGTGACGATTTTGAAAGTGATGATATCTCGAACCGTGAAGCAATCGGTTTGAAAACTTTATTAAATGATTACTCTTTTAACATACTTTTAAATATTTTTAAGAAAGTGTTTACCCAAACCGATTTGATATTCAATGTTGTTCAAAATCAGCTAACTGACATTATTCATTCCAAAAATAGAATAACAAGACTGGTGCAAAATCTCAGAGATTTTCGTAACGATAGTAATTTCCAGTATATCCGTTTTGGACTCGCTTGATATTTCCGAACCCCAAAAAAAAGACAAAGGCATGACACAGAAACAGATCTCGAAAATCGAGTATATTTTGCAATTTTGGATACTATTATTATGCAAATAGATACTCGTTTTTCGAATTTTGAAGATTTGCAAATTTTTGACCTATTTGACGATTCAAAATTCAAAAGTAACGCCAAAGAATTTCCAAGATATTTATTTGACAGGTTACTTAAAAATTATTCATTATTCTTTAATAAAATAGAATCAGAAAATGAATTAAAAGTTTTATATGCTGATCCAAATATTTTCGGAAGATGGGTTAAGTTACAATATATGTATAATTTTATATACTGCAATTCATTACAACAAAGTGTTACCGAAATTAATAAATTATTGTCATTAATTCTCTCATTACCACCAACGTCTGCCTCAAATGAACGAGATTTCTCTTGTCTCAAAAGAATCAAAACGTTTTGTCGAAACACCATGAAACAAGAGAGAATGTCAAGCTTGTCTCAAATGTCAATAGAAAAAAACTTTTAAAATCTCTCCAAAACTCTAATAAATTTTACGATGACATTATTACCCATTTTGCTACTTCCAAACAACGTAGACTAGAGTTAATTTATAAACATGTTTAGGTTCTAAATTTATAGGAAAAAAACAAGAAAACAAAAAATCTCCTGTGATGATTGAAGTCTTTATTAGACGGTATACCTATCTGAGGAGACAAAAAATACCTTGCCGACCTTATCTCTCAAGCCACGAGCCGCCACTGTAAGGGTGCATACTGGAGGAAAACCTCACAATTTTGAAATGTATTTTTATTTCAATTTTTTAATTTTATTTGAAATTTGAAAGTTAGTTTGAAGCAGTTTAGTGAACCGTTTAACTTGAAAACACATTTTAGAATGTATGTTGAAGAAAAGACTTGAAGAAAAAGTTTAGACTAAATGGTAATTTGAAAGCACATTGGCAGTTCACACTGGAGAAAAGTTGTCTGCATATATGCCGATTCATCCTGGAATATTTATTTTAGTTGGCGTATTTTAATTAACTCAACGATTTTCCTTGTCAAAATAGCGTTCCTCCAGTAAAAAAAAGTGCATAAAAGTGGTGCTATGTGATTCATTCATAAATTTGTATTATAAAAACAACAAACTGTTTATTATATATTTTAAAACTATTGTAGTAATTTCGTCCACTCTGTGTGTTATACAAATTTCATAAAGTTTTTCTTCGCGTTTCTATGTTCAGCTTACTTAGAGTTAAAATAATTATCTGATCAATCAATATAGGCGAGAGAATGTCGAATATTTTTTGCGTTTCGAATAATTAGCCCTCAGATTACCCTCGCTTGGGATTAAAGGTCAAGACAACTCACATCGTGAAAAAACTCTCTATCACTTTTCGTTCTAGAGATCAATGCGGAAGTCAGGTCGAGATTTTGGCAGTGTAGGCGGTTATTTGGAGATGCTCAGCATCTAGGTGCGAGCAGTGCCTCACACATGGAAGAACACCGCTTTGCCTACGTTTTTTGGCAGTGTTTATGTTTTTATTTTTGTGGATGTGTTATTTTTATTTCATGAAGATTATGTAATATGGCCAATTTGCGTACTGAAACAGAACTGAAACAGGTTGTCCCTTAATTAAACGGTTTCCTATGGCAACTTTAGTCTGGAATTCCTTGGAAGCGGTTTATTTAAGTATTTGTCATTATATGAAGATCGGTCTACTAGGAAGCGTATATGAAAACAGCAGTATTCACTGCAAGTCATTTTTTATTATTTTTAGTATTTCTGCTAAAGAGAATTTACAAGAGCAGAAATCTTTAAAGTATCTAGTGACGTGCTAAAAAATTCTATAGTATATCTGGGCGGGGTATAATTTTTATTTTCATGAATGTCTAGTAATTTAATAAGCAATGTCTTCTTCTTTTCTTCAGCCTTCATTTACCCATTGTTGGACATAGGCCTCCTCCAATTGCTTTCATCCATCATCTATCCATCTCTTTTTGGATCTTCCCCGCTTCTTTTTGTTTCTCGAGGTCTCCAGAATATCACTTTATGAGACCATCTGTTGGTGTCTTGTCTTGCTACATGTGCTACCCATTGCCATCTCAATGTCGCTATTTTCCATGATGTTACATAAGCAATGTATGTATATTGTATTCAGAAGTAAATTCTCCTTCATGCATATCATGATATTTTCTTATAAATTCCTTTTTTTATCTTTTTCTTTTCAATTCTGGGATTCTACAGTATTCACTGTCTTCCCTTGCTCAACCGTTTCCATCTCTCTCTGTTGTCCCATTATCGTTTAGGCCTCTTTTTCCTTTATTTATCCTTTCCTTTGAACGCCACGTCATCAATCTGTAGATCTTCTATGCCTTCTTCACTTGTAGATAGGTACTCTGTTTTCGCGAGATAAATATCTAGGCCAGCCTTGATATCTACATATATTCATCATGTAGCTGAGGTCGCCTTGGTCTTGTGCAATCACTACTTGATCGTCTGCAAAGCTTAACGTATATAGGTATTCGTTCCGTACCGGTACTCCCATGCGTTCGCATTTTCTTTTCCATGTAGTCAAAGCTTTCTCTAAGTATATTTTGAATAGGGTTGGAGATGTGGAACAACCCTACAGGAGCCCTTTTGTTGTGATGAAATGTCCTATGATTCTTGTTCCCACTTTAATGGACACTTTATTTTCTTTATACAGAGCT